TCAAATATTTGAAATAAAATAAAACACACTTTATGTACTTACAAAAAATAAATAAGTATATAAAATAAAGAACATTATAGTAAACATTCCAAGCAAGTCAAAACATTAAATTTCATGTAAAGCACAAGAAATTGGAAAATGATAAAAATTGCTGAGATATAGTCTCATTATTGCCTGACTATTACTATATAGTCAATTACTATTATTATGTCAATTACTTTTATAGTCAATTACTTTGTTAGTAAAGCGTTTTCTTGGTTTTCATGTGTGTGTAATGGAAATTTTAATTTATTTTCATTCAAAAAGTCCTTCAAAATATTATTTTATTCCTCTATTTCAATGACAGTACTTTGATATCTGGGTTGTGTACTAAAAAGTACAAAAATACGAAGAGCATTTCACAACATTTACTAAGATTTGCTCAGCTATTTTTTCGAGTGACTGTACTTAATTTGCTCTTTCTTTATTTGATTTTTATAAATTGTAATGATTAATAATAATAAATAACATTCTGTCTTTATGAACACAAAAATCTGAAATTCGCTCATTTTATAACACATTTTTTCCGAATTTTTTAGTAATTTATAATTCATAAATTTTAAAAAAAAACTAATATGTTCTTAAAAATAATTCCTTTATATCATTCTGAAATTCAAATACTCGAAATAAAAAAAAAGCACAATTTATATACTTACAAGAAATAAATAAATAAAATAAAGAACATTTAGTAAGCAATCTAATCTACTCAAAACATTAAGGCTGGAATTCAACTGCAACAAGTCCCGCAGTGGACTGATCGTTAAGACGCGGTTCCCAGCAGATCACCGAAGTCAAGCATCACTGGCTGCGGTCAGTGTGCGGGTGGGTGACCCACTTGGATCAGTCTGCGTAGGGACCGAGGGTGTGCGGTATTGGTCCTCGTTAAACTGTGCTACCGTAAAGTGCTCGACTTCGCGTGCAGGTCGTTGGGCTACCGAAGCAGGGGTGCCATCCCCTCTGCAGAGGATCAAAATTGTGATGGCATGTCTTCGGATCATCCTCAGGGATGTTTCCCAGACCGTCGCCAATAGCCCATTGTGCAGATCTAGTGCGACGTAAATGAACTACAACTCAACTGCAACAATCTTAAGACACGCCACTCGCCAGCTATTGTCTGTTAGCTTTCAGTTAGTTTGTTACTGAAACGTTTTCCTGGTTTTCACTTGTGCGTAACGGAAATTCTAGTTATTTTCATTCAAAATATGATTTCACTCCTCTATTTCAATTACAAGTTACTTTGATATCTGGGTTGTGTACAAAAATAGGAAGAGCATTTCACAACATTTACTAAAATGATATGCTATATATCAAGGATGATAAAAAAAATGATTGATTAATACAAAATAATTTCATTGCTATAATGAATATTTAGATGGAATCCTATTATTACCGTTCAGCAATCTCAAAGACTTTTTCGTGGTTTTCCTTTGCATGTAACGCAAAATTTGATTTGTTTCAATTTTAATTAAATTGATTCAATTTAAATTGATTTAGTAAATGGGCAAAATTAGAAGAATGTTCTTCCCAAATACACTATTTCCCTAGTCAATAACACAGGAAAGTGAGTTCTGCTATGAGGTGAGAAATGTAAGTTAAAATATTACTTTCTACGTGCAGAACCGTCAGTGGGTTAAATAATATATAGGTTACTACAATAGCTTTTATAAATATGATTTTACTCTGCTACTTGAATAGCAAGTCACTTTGATTTCTGGGTTGTGTTAAGAATTAAAAATATAAGAAACGTGTTTCACAACATTCACTAAAGTGACAGATTGTCTGTCATGGATGATAAAAAAAATTATTGATTAAAAAAATAATTTCATTGCGATGCGATAATGAACATTTAGCTGCAATCCCGTTACCGTTCAGCTATCTAAAAGACTTTTTCAAGGTTTTCCTTTGCATATGTGACGCAAAATTTAAATAATTTGATTTAATCTTAATTAAAGTAAGTTATTCTTATAACTTTAATGATTATGATTGTACTCCGATACCTAAATTACGAGTTACTTCGAATTCTGTGCTCAATTGCATGAAAATATGAAGGGCGTTTCGTTATATGCACAAAGATGATCAGCCATTTATCAAGGATGATAAAAAAAATAATTGATTCCTGAAAAATAATTTCTTTTCGACAATGAACATTTAGCTGGAATACCTTTAACCGATAAAAGCAATCTAAAAAAAAATTTTTTTTTTTTTTGTTTTCCTTAGCGTGTACCGCAAAATCTTATACTTTTAATTTTATCTTATCATGGGTTGAGTTAAAAAGAAGAGCTTTTCGTTATATTCAGAAAGATGATACCCTACCTATTTTATAATTTTATAACCGACGTCGAAAAGCCGACCTAATTTTGTGTTTACGACTACTGATGTTCAACTTCGTTGACTTGTAATTTTGAACCCCATCCAGCTGACAAGGCAACTCCTGGATCAAGTATGGGGAGAAATTTGCCTTCGCGGAGGACTTCTTAATGGAATTGGCCCGCAATTGCATTACATGGAGAGGAAAATCACGAAAACCTCACGCAGTTTGCCTGACGGTCAGATCTATTTTATTTTATAACCGTTGTTGAACAGCCGACCCAATTTTTTGGGTTTACGACGACTATATGCTCATTACCGTTACCTTGTAATTTTAAATCCAATCCAGAAGACAAGGAAAGTCCTGGCTCAAGTATTGAGAGAAATTTGTAACCGTGGAGGACTTTTTGATGGAACTAATCTGCATTTGCTTTACACGGAGAGGAAAACCTCCAACGGTTAGCCTGACGGTAAGGGGACTCCTGATCTTCCGAGCCGCAACGACTCCGCCCGATTAATAATAAAAAATAAAAATGGTTGCATGTAAAAAATAATTTCATTGAAGTAATTATGAACATTTAGCTTGAATCCTATTGCAGACAAGTGATCTGAAAATATTTTTCGTGGTTTTCCACTTGCGTGTAACGCAAAATATGGTAATTTTAATTTCATCTTAGTTAAAATAGATTATTTTTATAACAACTATAATTATTGTTTTACACCTATACTTATTAAATTGCGAGTTACTTTGATTTTTGGGTTGGGTAAAAATCACAAAATATATGAAGAGCATCTTGTTATATTTACAAAGATGATTGGCTGTCTGTCAAAAACGCTAAAAAAATTATTCATCATATAAGAAAATTAATTGCCATTACTGAGCATTTAACTGGAATTCTTTAAACGTCAAGCAATCTGAAAGATATTTTCGTGGTTTCCCTTTACGTGTAACGTAAAATATGATTGTAGTCTTAAAAAAATGTTCATAAAGGCAGCAATGCTTAAATATTTGCATAAATTATGAGTTATTTTATCTTTTTTCCTTGTAAAAATAAAACAAAATAAAAATAATTTGATTGATTATAATTCATTAGCAGGGTAGATAGTCATTTGCGGATATTAAAAAATGATTTGGCAGATTTTGATACGGATATATATATTATATATCTAATAATAATAATTGAAATAATTATTCGTGCAAAGGCATTCATAAAGATCAGAAATTGATAGATGCTCCATACAATTTAATTCATAATAAATGTTACGAATAATTATTTTGATGAAAAGGAATTATATTTTAATTCTCATAAGAAAATTTAACAAATTTACGGTCGCATTGCTTATATTTGTCAAAAAAACGCTTCATTTAAAGCATTTTTAATTATAACGATTTTAAAACATAGTAAACTAATAAAATTTTAAGTGTTTTAGTTTTGAATTCATTCTGTTAAATCATATATTTAAGTGTAAAAAAATTGCTGAAATAAGCATTTATACATCAGTTATAACAGAACCAGACGCTTCAAACTAGTAACTATGGTTGAATAAACATATATCCTTCCTTCGGTTTTAATTAACACAAGTTCTGAAAGCCAAAACTAAACAAAACCGAAACTTAAGTATATAATTGCCCGTAATCTGAATAATCTGTGGCTTTAAAACTTCAATAAACAAATAAATAAATTACGAGTGATCTAAAGACATCTTTAAGATATATACAAAATAATGTACTGGTTTTCAGAAATAAAAAAAAACTAGAATTGAAATTAAATTGCTTTTTAATGATCAACACTGATTACGTGCAATGCTTAGAAACGGCTGGGATGTCGGAAAATAATGTACTTAAAGATGCGAGCGCCGCTTTCTGTGCGTTGTTTTGTGCAATAGCCTGTAGCTTATATTAGTCCTTGGGAAATACAGAGCTATAAACTTACGCAAAGAGCTCGTCGGTCGTGTTTCAATAAACTACAATCAATCTATCATAAATTATGTTTACTATTTGAATCTGTTTTAGTGTTTACATCAAACTCCTCGCAATTTTTATAAATCTTAATAATAAATTGTACAATTTGTTCTTGTGCATGTAGTACTTATTTAATCTTTATAGTTTTTTTTTTTAAATCTGTACTTTTCTTGTATTTAGCACTGTTTATCAAAATGTCAGAATTGAAAATGTAGGTTCTCAAATTGCTTCTCATTATTTATTTGTGTTGTGTTCTCCCTTTGCATTTGTATACATACTGATATTGTTTAGTTAGTAGTTAATATAAAATTGTTCAACTTTTAAACTATGAAAAATTTTGTAATTCCTTTTTCGAACTAGAGATCGAAAAAGTTATTACAAAATTTCTCCGGTGCTAATGAGAACCTTACTTTGTATAGGCTCAGATTAACCAATCAGATACTTTGACCGCCTCATATAAACCAAAATTATTATTAATTGAATGAATTAGTCTGCCCTTTCAAAACTATATACTGCAAAGTAGCAGAATGATTTTTAAAATTTTATTTCAATTACATTGAAAGTTAAAATGAATGCCCCTATTTCGTACTTGCAGTACGCAAAATGTGATTTTGCGTATCGTGATCTGTGGCAGAGTAATCACCACGTCTTGGAAACTTCCAGGTAGTGGATCTCGAGAAACTAAAAAAAACATCACTGAAAGGGAGCAAACCGAAAGGTATAACTCAATGCCTCCCCCAGACAAACATCTACTTGTTTTTTTTTTTTAAATTTGCAAGTTTTAAATCTATTTGGCACCTATGTGATTGTAGTTGGTGCAACAGATCATGATACGGAAATATCCCCTAAAATTATATATTCATATGAATGTACATGCATGTGGTGGTAATATATAAAAGTTTTAAAGCCCGAAATAATATTCTTGACAAACTTTGTGTAGCGAGGACGATACAGCTGTTATGCAAGCTTTCAAGGTGTCTACTTGTCGCTAAAATCATATAAGCTCTGAAAAAGTCACAAATTTGAGAAAAGGGCACAAAAATAGGAAAAATGTTTCTTTTCTAAAGTCACAATTTTTTTTCTTTTCAAGCACTATGAAAAGTGAAAACTCAAATTCGAAATTTTAGCTTCATAATTATTATTAATAATATTTTAATAATTGTCGAAAAACTCAATTGTATGTATAATGAAATTGTTATGAATAGAGTCACTCGGAGTAGTTATCTTGATTTCATAATTTATGTGTCATAATAGCTTCTTAAAAACATCTATGTGGAAATCGCCAAAAAAATTTATACCTACAGAAAACGGCGTGCATGCTGTATATACTATGGAGTCATTGAAAACCAAGCGCGTCTAAAAGTGAAAACTCAAATTAACAATTTGTGTATCAAATTAAAACTATCAGAATTTTCTTTTAAAAGAGAAGGGATCAGAAATGTCCTAGATTACAATAGAGTTGTTGTGAATAGAGCATGCAAAAAGTGAACTGAAATGTGTAATTGGCGTATCATAATAACATAAAAATTTAAAAATCACATGGAAATGGCTAAAAATTATGTGCATTTACAATTTAATTGTTGAGAATGGAGTGCCTCAAAAAGTGTAAAATCAATTTCAAAATTTATGTGTTGTGATAACATTATTTTAAAAATATTGGAATTTGAAAAACTAATGCATAGTTGAAGAAAAACTATTGGAAATTGATGGATATTTACAATAGAAACATCAAGAAAGATTTTTTTTATTTCCAGCAGCAGCGCTTGATATACATTATTCTCTGGAGTGTAAACACTCTGCACAGACCCATAAGGAATAACAACAAATTAAACAAAAATTTAAAAACATCAAAACATTCAAAATACTAAAACAATTAGAACAAAGAAACATTAAATAGAATATCAACAATAGAAATGTAAACAGAAAATCAGTCAGTTAGCAGTGCCTGCAACTGTTCCCTAGCATTCCAGTATCTGTCATAGTTGTTGCCATTAACTGCAGGTCAGACCCCCAGATGCTCAGCATTCATTGGGAAGTCCTCCCCACACAAGACACAGTTTAGATCGGGAAAGATATTAAGTCTATGGAGATGAGCAGCAAGGCAGTTGTGTCCGGTTTCCAACCTAAAGCAGCAACCGCATTTCGTCTCGGGTGATCAGAGATCTTATTCCTCGGGTGATCAGGAGTCCCCCTCCAGACCACATCACTAATTTGTTCATTTAAATTATTTTCATGACTCTTAATTATCGTGTTTTTAATTATTCTGCTTATGGTAAAGTAAGTAATTTCTCTCTGGGAACTCTATAAAATACCAGTTCCTCTTTTAGCAAGAAGATTTACCATCTTGTTTCCATAGATATTACAGTGAGAAGGAACCCACTGTAACACAATATTCTTTTTTAAGGACAAAAGTAAGTCAGGAGAGAAGAACGTAAAAAATTGAATAGTAAAATTCGCGTATTATTGTATCATATTAAAAATAACTGAATTTAATAAGGAAAAGCATGCAGAGAAGGTTGAGAAACTGTCAGAAAATAACATAGATTTTCAATGAAATAGTTAGTTGAGCACATCAAAAATTGATCATCAAATTTGAAATTTTTGAGTCATTATAACATCACATTAAAAATATGGGAATTAAAAGAATAAGGAATAGATAATACGGTACATAACTGATTATTCGGTATCCAAAAAACAGGAAAAAATTTTACTTGGTTTTCCCGCCATTTCGAACGAGAACAGTTGAGGCAAGATGCAGAAAGTTTACTCATCCTTGAAGTTGAGTAGAGGAAAAGGAGGAGTACTATACTTTAAGAAAATGTAATATGCTTCATAGAGACTTCAATATTTCTTCCTTAACCTTGAGATCTTTAAGTTGAAAGGGGGTGGGGAAGAGACAAATTTTTTATTTTCTCCTGTGTGTCAGAAAGAATCAGTGGTTCTCTGATAAGCTGCTATTAATCAAGCATAAGCTGTTAATCAAACATTTGTTTTCTCCTTTTTTGATTTAAGAGAGGGAGGGGAAATTCATTGCACATGCATGTCAGTGAATAGTAGGCAGGGTCTAATACTGGTTAATTTTACTACCATTTATCGGCAATTTCACAAAAAACAACATGGCTAAAATAATAACTTCAAAAAAATTGTTGCAGTAAAATTGGCACATTCACAAAAATCTTAAATATCTTAGCAAAATCAACACCTTCCCAGAAAGAATAAAAAAATGGGATCTGTAAAATTTTATTAAACATGTGGCCCTTTTGCAGAAAAGTAATTCATGTACATATTTCATTAGATCGTGAAACTAGTGCGAGAGAGAGAGTTTAATGACACATTCTCCAACCTAATCTTATTCAAATGATTTAAAAAATCACAATTAGTATTCACGCGTTTTAAAAGTCAGAAGTGATTCTTCTTGTAATTTATAAATCACATCATGATTTGTGCTCAGGAGCTTTGAAAATAATGTGTTGCCACTCTTCTTTTCACAATTTAAAAATCACACATTTCGTATTCACAAGATTTAAAAATAATATGTTGTCATTTTTCTCACAATTTAAAAATTACGCATTGTGATTCATATTCACGTAATTTAAAAATCACATACTTCAAAAGGATGTTCCTTTTATTAACTGTATATCTTGAAAGCTTTCTACTGAAAACAATTTTCAGTGTTATAAATGACAACAAAAGCTATTGCACAATATAACACTCTCAAATCTCTTTTATTGCTATTTTAGCATTACGTGTATTTGATTATAATCAAAAGCTCACTATATTCCATGCACAATAATGAATTGTTGCTGTAAAAGACTTTTACTGTATTTTATCCTAGATGATATTGGCATTGATAGTAGTATGTTATCGTTTGAACTTATAATGCATATTTTGTGACGGTAGGAAATAAATTTAAAGTATTTGCTTTGTTTTCAGATTAGTTTGTGGAGATGTCCAAGGTCAATTTAAATCCTTTTTCAGTAAAGTTGGCATGATTCATCAAAAAAAAGGTCCTTTTGAAGTAATATATTTTTATTATTGATAATAAAAAAGAAAAATAATTTTAAATGACATTAAAAAAATATTCGTATTTCCTGGTTTAAGAACATGTTGAAGTTGATTGTAACTATTGAACATTAGTTTTATTTACAAATCATTAAAAAGAGCAATTACTAATGAAAATTGATATTTTGTAACAAAGTTTGAAAATGATATTTTGTAAGATTTTAATCAAACTCACTAAAATGTCCCTTTACCTGTTCTGCTCCTAAAATCTTCAAATATGTCTTTCTTTTATGTATAGTAAATTCTTCAAACAACTGTGCTTTGCATGACTGTGTTTCCTTATAGTATCAAATGTGACAGTTGTGTTACAAAAACTTAGCTTAGAAATATTTCTGTGGTTGCAAAAATATAATTAAATATTGTAAAAAACTTCCCTGTTGATTACCAAAATTTCAAAATGTCCATGTCATAAAAAAAATCCGAAACATTTTAACCAAAATTTAGAACACAGCAAAAGGATAGCAATTGCACATGTATTAAAATGGTTGCAAATAAAATTAAAAAAAAAAAATTTCTATTGCGATTTGATTTCAGAAAGCTTCCAATGAAGATCAGTCAACTTAAGATTGTTTGCATAAAATTGCTTTTGAGTATTAGAATTCGTTCAGAACTGAAGAATTTCAAATTGATTCATTAAAAAGAAATCCTTTTTATTATAAAAGTGAATTTATCAAAACAAATTTAAAGACTGAGGAAAAGTGAGAATTTTTTTTTATCTCTTCTTGTCATACAAAAGTTAATTTTAAAATAAATTGACTTAAATGTTGAAAGAAAAAATTAAAAAAAATTATAGAGTTATATGAATACAAATTAAATGCTTCAGTTAAAGGAAATTTATGGTGTTTAAAATGATTTAAATTAAAAAAACAAAACAATACCCGAACTCAAAATAAGATTCAGCATTTAATTAGAAATATATTTTCAACTTAAGAAATTTGATGTTTAGTGAATTATGTGAAGTTTATAATTGTTATTTCTGTAATGGCGTTTTAAGCTACAAAAAATTAGAAGCAAAGTTATGAAGAGTTAACAGTTAAAAATTCATATAATCCTATATTTTTAAGTTTTGTGTGTGGTAATTGTATTAAATAATATCGTTTTTTTAAATATCACGTGAAAATGCAAAACAAAACTGCAGAAAAAAAGGTTAGAAAAATAACTCGCAATTACGAGGAAATCAGCACAAATTAAGCATATCAAAAAGTGATTATTTAAATGTTCGAGTCATATTAATACCTTATTTAAAATCTTGAGATTTTCATTTAAAATCTGAGAAAGATTTCATTGAATTACGATGAAATCCGCAGAAATAAAGCATACATTTAAAGCACCGAAAAGTGGTCGACTTCGCTCTCAGGTCGTCAGGCTACCAAAGCAGATGGGCCATCCCCTTTGCAGAGGATCAAAATTGCAATGGCTTGTCTTTGGATCATCCTGAGGAATGTTTTCCTGACTGTCGCTAATAGCCCATTGTGCAGCTGTAGTACGACGTAAATAAAGCACCTACCTTCCTGGATTTTCAAAACCACAGAGAAATTTGCAGCAATAACTACCAGAAAATAATAGAAAAATTATTTATGATGGAAAAAGTGGTATGTTAGAACCTTGCTTTTGAGCTAGACTGTTAACTGAAGCTCTGAGATAAACAATACAAGAAAAGAATTATATATAATATTTTATTTCTTGTGAGAAAATAAGATGTTTTCTTAAAAACATGCATATTTTATCAAAATAAAGTATCACAATCTAAAGTAAACAAACAAAGGAATCTGTAGGGAAGTTATATATTTAATAATTTCTTTTTTTGGACAAAAAATGTTATAAAAAAAAGTTGCAATTACTTTTAGAATTTTGAATAGTAGTTTAATGAAAATGAATTTTATGTTTTTTCATTTTATATTAAGTATTATATAATATATTTCTTAGAATCTTTCTTATTTTAATATAAAAGGCTAGATAAAAATTTATAATCACCAGTTGTCTAAAAAAATCTCTTTTATTTCTGATTATTAATAATTAAGTAAAAGTTATATGTTAATTTTTATTTAAAAAAACTGTAATTCATAAATATTTATTTGCGATGTTTTTTAACAAATATTATCAGTTTATAAATTAAACATGCTATTTCTAATAAGTAAATTATAAATAAATATATTTAATTATGCAGATTTTTGTATTTCATATTAAGTAATAATTTGCTCAACTATGTTAATGAAACACTGATTCTGTTTTTGTCAGAAAAAGAGTATTATAATTTTGAGATAATATTGTGTCATATTTCATTGTTTATTTGCAAGAAATTTTTATACATTATTCTAATTTTAGGGTGTTGAAAGTTTTATACATGTAAACATTTGTTTGTTAATTTATGAATACTTTAAAAGATTTTTTAATCTAGTAAATATATAATGTACTATTATATCAATTTTTTTTTTAAAATTTATAGTTTCAGATTAGATGTAGTTAAAAAATTACAAAATATGTTAAGACTACATCAATGAATTTGCTTTTTAAAACAGAATAAATGTCTTTAATAATCACAATAGTCAGATCATTTAAAGTGCATCGTTCAGATAACCTATCTATGAAATACAAATTTTATTATTAAAATTATATTAATACTAAAATTTGCATGTTTTACACAATATTTATATATCGAGCACAGTAGTAACAAAGTCAAGCTTCAGTGAGCAAATATATAATTGTTTTTTTTATTTACAAATATTTTTTTCCCTCTTTAAATTTAACATTACAACACTTATTAGCATATTTTACCTTCTTAATTTCACTCACAACTGCACATCTAAATCAAAGCAAAATTAATTCGAGCACCTTTTGACACGGAAGCATTGTTCTAATGACCTAAGTTGACCACTCCACAAACAGGCCAATCAGGGTTTAATGCTCTGATAGTGCTGATATTTAGTTATGCAAACTTGCCATAACAAACCACATCTTTAGGAGTAAGTTTTACCCAGTGGACATTTTTACAAAGCCTTTAACTAATTTTGATCATAAAAAATTCAGTTCAAAATCATTTGTAATAATGATGGATTTGTATCAATGTGTCTGATATTTTGTACTTACAACTTGAAGTAATCTAGTAATCTACATGAAGTAATCTAGTATATTTTGTATCAATTAATTTTCAAAGTACAAAATTTTTTCTAGCTGACAGCTTCAAAAATGCTTTGTATCGTTTATCAATTGCAAAATTATTTCAATTTGTCCATAATATCAGTTTCATTTGGTTCTGACAGAATTACTAATAAGTTTTGAGTAGCAGTTGCTTTTGATCTGGATTAAAGTAACCGGACTAATCTATGGACTCCACTTGTGGATTAATCATTACCGAAGCAGTTTGTTTTTATAATTATTTTAATGCAGCTAATACCTGATGTTTAACATAGCTTTATTTGTAGTTAATTAAACTATTTGATTTTTTTTGTGATGTATTAAATTACTTTACCATAGTTTAAATTTTTTTTTCTTTTTTGTCAAACTACAAAAACTATTAAATAATTAGCTCAAATGCTTATTGTTAAAAAAATTGTAAATATTTTTAGATTTTGCATTCACTTTAGTTTTTTGATGAAATATTTTCTAAATATTTTGATAAAAGTTGCAACAGATTTATTGATTTCACTTGTTAAATATAAAAAAAAAAAAATCTTTTTTAATTAAAACTTTCCAAAACTCTCAATTTAAAAATTAAGTGTGTTATGTTTAGTGTTAAGCTATGCAATGTTACTAACCAAAGAAGGCATTTCTAAATATGCTTGTTTCAAATGTCTAAATATTGAAGAATGCCCTATATGGCTCATTGACATTTGTATTAAACTTGCAGTACTTACTTTGTGTTGGAAACTTTTTTGGTCCTGGAGATGAAGAATGGCAAGACGTACTGAAGGGTAAAATAACAGGTACAAGTAATTAGAATTTAGTTGTTTTTAAATGTTTTTTATATTTGCTTGGAAAGTTATGGTTGAAGGAAATGTATAATTTGCTAAAATAAAATTTTACTCTTTGAATAATATTTGACCTTATGAATGATTAAATAATCAGATTTTCATGTACTATGAAACAATTCTTAATGGTTTAGAGAACGCACCTTAAATACATTAATTAATTAGTTAGTATAGAAAATATTTTAAATTACAAAATGAGATGCAGCTTACTCTTATTACTCTTTTTGAAAAATATTAAAAATTTTTTATGAGATTAATATTTCACTCTACAGTATTTACAAGTATTGCACCTTTCTAAATTTTAAAAGGGGTACCTTTTTTTATTTTGTGACCCTTTAATCCATGACCATTAAATACTACTTTACGAGAAGTTGAGGATTGTGTGGGTGTTTTTCTTTTTTCATTTATGCCTTAATTTTTCAAAAATTACTTTTGTCTAAAATTCTTAAAAAAAAAAGTAAAGTATTACATCAGGTTTTAAATGTACTATGCCTCTTTCCTGCTGAATGATGAGTGACACTGTCATATTAAACTGGGACATAGTCAATCTGACTTTCGACTGGTAGCTATATTCCATAACACACCAAGTCAAAATTACTAGAAGATTGGTTAAAGTGTCACAATATCACCTTGAAGCCTATAATATACCAGAGAAATATAACGAAAATTTTATTTTTAATTTCTGTTCGGATCGGTTAACTTAATTTATGAAAAATTCAAAACATATTCATAATATTCCTACTCCTGGAAGTTTCTCAGTGTAGGAATGTTGTAATATTAATTTGCTGCAATAAAATGTATTTCAGTTGGAAAAAAGAAATTTTTTCATAATTTCTATAAATACCCAGCTGTATAGTTTTATCCGATCAAGTTTTTGCGCACTTCCTTAGAATAACAAATTTACAGTCAAAAATAAAACTTTTTTTTACATGAATTTTTGTTTTTATTTTTCAAGCTAAAGATATGATTTATCATGCAAATAAAAATTTAAGTAGTTCTGTTATTGAAATTGCTTGAAAAGAAACCTTAAGGACTCAGTTTTGTTCATTCCCGTATTTATAAAATTTTTCTATATTCAAATTTTTTTAAAAAAATTTTTCTGTTTTTTAAAAAAGTTATAATTTTTATATTCAGAATTTTTCCAAATCTTACTAAAACTTTTCATTCAAAATTTAGTTTTTGTAATTATTTCCCATTGATGGTCACTTAACAAATCAAGAGTAATGTTGAATTGAAAATACTTTTTTATAATTATAATTACCTTCAGTTCCAACAAAATAGAAAGTTTATTGCCTTTTTATCACTAGCATTTGCTTTGCATTTCTTTATGAAGTATAATAGTGTGTTTCAAAATTATTTTCTGATAAAACAAACATTCTAATTTTTTTAAAATAACTTTTTAAATAATGGCAGATAAAAATAAAATTGATTCTTTATGAAAAAATAAATAATTAATTAAAAAAATACAGCTTTCTAATCTTTTTGCAACACTTAATACCAGCCACCTTTTTCTCATTTGCGGAACCTTTTATTTTTTAATGATATCAAGAGTAATGCTTTAATTTTTTTTAATTCTTTCTTGGTTTAATGAAATTAATTTAAAGTTATCCTAATTAGTATAAATAGAATTAATTTAAACAGATTGATATTCATTTGAATGTCTATTTAAGTTAGCGTTCTAGTTCCCAGTTTTTCTTCTAAAATTTCTGTGTACAATTGACTGTTAATATTCATTTCGCTACCACTAGAGATATCCACAATAAAGAGCAAAAAAAGTAAAATGATATGCATTTAAATCTAAACTCTGTTCATGTGTGCATGAATAATTTTAAAATGAGTAAAATAAACTCCTGGAAAAAAAATTTCTACAACTAGTTTTAAGCAATTAATTCAAAATATTTTTAGAGAATTAAATTTAAAAAAAGTGTCTGTCAATGCATTTTTCACAATTAACAAAACATTCTCAAATAGTTTATACCTGAATAAGGTTAGGAGATTAATCCTGCCTTATAATTTTAAAATTTATCTTAGCAAACAAAATGGAATTTATAACCTTTTTGCAACATTTCTTATTTTGTATCATTATAATATTAAATTAATGATTTTAAAAACTAAAATAAGTTCATTTTTAGTTCCATTAACTACTTATATATTGGGACCAAATAGAGCAGAACATGTGAAGCATTTTCCTGATAACTCAGAAGAGCTTGCTTCTAATATTATTCATTTGGGTGAGTTTCTAATAATATATTCTGCTAGGATAGTTTTCACTTGCTTAATTCAAACTGACTTTGTAACTGTTTTGTCATTAACAGTCTCAAACCAAATTTTTTATGTTAAATTACTGCAAAGGTTAGAATAATGTGAACGGCATTGTTTTAAGTCTTATGCTTGTCATAATTTCACTCATATGTAAGTGGGAACTTGTCTCTTTACGATGGAGTAGTTATCAAGGAATAGGTGTAGTCTACAGCTTTGGGTACTAGACTCACCTTTACATCTGGTTACATTTAGTCCATTTTTGGCCTGTTGAATTCAGATAAGTTTAAATAGATGGGTTATTTTTTTAATAGTTAGATTAAAAAATCTACCTAGACATAACTGTAGCATATGCTGAAAAATATTTTCCTGAATGCGCTTTTCAAAATTTATATTGATAAAGATAGAACAATTACTGAAGCAAAAATATCAAATATATATTTATTTAATCAATATGTATCTATTGTTTAAAATCTTGTTATATGCATCTTTGATTTAAAAAATTATTTAATTTGTATATATATTATGTAATTTATTATTTATTATCCAATGAATAAATATTTTAAATATGTTTCAAGTAAAGTATGTATTTAATGAAAAATATGAAATAGGTATTTTTGTGATTCCATCTAAGATCAAATCTTTAATCTTTGGGCTACTATTCACAAATTTCTTAAGAGGCCTTATCTAGTATTCTAAGAAAAAGCAGATACATGGTAGAATAAACCTTAAAAGTCTCCATTTAAAAATTGTTTAGTACAATTCAACCTGTTTATCTTGAACCTCTTTATCTCAAAAAACTTTATCTCAAAAAACTTTATATCTCAAAATTTCTAAAATTCCCTACATTTACCATCTAAAATCAATGTATTTTCCATGTTTATGTCGAAATTTTTTTTTAAAAAAAGAACTTATGTTTCTCGAATTTCTAATAATAGAGCAAAATGTCAAAACTTTCTTTATCAGTAGAACTTGCAGACAGAGATGAATTTTGTGAGCCCACAGGAAGTAGAGATGAACAGGTTGGGGGTTTTTCTTGGAATTTCAATCACTATCCATGCACTTTCTTAACTAGAAAGGAATAAAATGATTCTGGCAGTAAGCGAAGGATTAATGAGTAGTAACCACAAAGGGTTAGCTTTTTTTTGAAACATAGATAAGAAAAGCTAAGAGTAGAAATTCATTTTAACTTCAAAATTGCAACCAATAGATCAAATGATAATTAGGAGTTTTAAAGTGAACTATAGAAAACAGTTGGTGTGAGCAAAGTTGTAGATGCCATTGATGAAAAAAGTTCTCTTCCAAAAATAAATGTCTTAGATGCTATTGGAATTACTGTTTTGCCTGGAGAAATGTGTTTCTAAAAAAACTATCCAAAATGGTTTTAAAAAGCTGGTTTTAAGAACAGCTGTGAGAATGATGAACAAGAGGTTGATGGCATCAGTAAATAAGAAGAAACTATTGACGCTGAAAATGCAGTGACAGATTTGCCAGAATGGAATGCAATAAAATCTGGATTTAATGTTGGCATTAATTATGAAGATTTTTACAAAAGGACAACTGCCTGGCAACACGCAGAACATTGAAAGATGCAGAAATCATAGATAATGTCAAAGGAATATCAGATGAAGAGGAAGAAGCTGAATATCACATTGATGAACCAAAAATGAATACAAAAGAGGTAGAAAAAGCTGTAGAATTCTTATAAACTATTCTTATAAACTATTCTTGAATCCCAGGAAAATGTTGGCTATGACGGATTTGCGCTCTTTCTAACCTTAAAGAATAATCGAAACAAATAAGGTTATACATCAAAAATCTTTGAAAAATTATTTTCAGTGTAAAATGTATGTTAAAAAATGTTATGTCAATAGATGTATGTGATATAATTAAAGAAATGCCTATATTTTTCTACTAAAAACAATTAAGGTACTTTTAATTAAATTTAATTTTTCACAAGTATCTGTATAACTCGAAACCTCTTTATCTCAAATTTTTGGCCTTTCTGATGTAATTCGAGATAAACAGGTTCGACTGTAGTTTAAATTGAATTCAAAATTTATACATACTAACAAGGAGAGAGTATAATTTAGGAAATCCCATTTAGGATATAACTTGGTAAATTAGTAGTATATCTTAAGGGTAATCAGTTCTTAAATAATAAAGCACACTAACTAGCCAGCCATTTCTGAGAAAAACATATTTTAAAATTTAAGCATACTTTATATACTAGTTAAATCGTCACTTTTTTAATAGCACAGTCTTCTAGTGGCAAGTAACCCACCTAATAATAAGACACTTGGTTTTCGAATTGTACAACAGACTATTTTTTACTGTTTACAAATATTATTAATTTAATTCCATATTTTTTACTGTATTTTTTATTACTTGATATTAAAATTACAGTAATAATGAATTTTTTCAATAATAGGATGTTAGTCAAAATAATAATATTTATAAACAGTGACTGTAATAATTAAAAAGTTACGTTTTAAGGTGATTCCTCCAAAATATGCAAATTTGGTATTACCTTGCAGTGTTAATTATTTTATTTAATTTTTTTAAAATATTATTTTAACTATTATTTAACAACAAACAAAAAAGAAAAATCTAATAAAGCATTTATAAAATTCTGCATAGTTAATTGGAAAAATTCACAAAATAAATTTTTGTGAAGATTTTATTATATTTTAATAACTATATTATTTTTGTAACTTAATTAAGTTATTAAAATCAAAAAGCAGTTCATTATCAATTTCTTTTGCCAAGTTTTGATAAAATGAACATGATTGTTATGTTTCCAAGTTTCAAAAGATTGAGAAATTTTTTTTAATGTTACTGAAATATGTTTTTCTGCAGATCAATTTTAAACACATTATTCTTGTAAACAATCATCTTGTATTAGCTATTCGTAAAACAAAATATGCAATGAAATTAAAGTTAACGTTTTATAAATATTATTTTATTAAAAGATGAAGTTATTATTGTACTTTAAATATCAATAAACATCTAATAATTTAAAAATACAGTAAGTAAAATGAAATTGCATTTAAACTATTTGTAAACAAAAAGAAAACCTTTTTTAAGAGAAAAAAGTAAAAGAACAATCCACAGCATGATTCGAACCCCACGTTTCTCATAATTATGTAGGTTCCCTGCCTCTAGACTACAGCTTCTTTACCAGAGTGAAGATTGAACTAGTATTAAAAGTAAGCTTGAATTTTCAAATGTATTTTTCTGGAATCGGGAAATCATCTCGATTATTTTTAGGGGTGAACACTCTTAAGGTATACTACTAATGCACCAAGTTTTTTTCTAATTTGAATTTCCCTGGTGATACCCTTTTCTTGTGAATTTTTAGCTACATAAAATTTTCCATTTTCAAATATGTTGAAAAATTGTAATATTAAAAAAAATGCTGATGAGGCTGAAAATGCTGATGAAGCTAAAAATGTTGATGATGCTGATAATGCTGATGAGACTGAAAATGTGGATGAGGGTGAAAATGCTGATTCACTATTTGTCTTAGAACCATTTGCTCTAAATCTTTCAACACTTTGTATTCATATTTTTAAACTTTCTATTTTATTTCTCTTTTTAAGAAAAATTGACAGTATGGTAATAAGTTTCAATTTTTAAATCAAGTAATATAAAACATTTTTAAAATGGGTAATATAACTGATTTCGTGCTTGTTTTTAGTTCATTCTTTATTGAAATAAAATAATTTTATTTTGTGACTATTTTCTGTCGATGGCTTGGTTATTTTTTCTTTTTTCTAATTATTTTCAGTTTTACTCTGCTTTAGTATTGGTGTTCAATATTTCTATAAAAGAAAGTAATTTTGTTTAATGAAGCTGAGAGCTTTTAAAAAAATTGCCTCCTTGTTGATTACTTTTTAAAAATTAAAGGGATGAATCAGAGAACACCAAGTACTAACATTTATACCATAGGGTTCAAAACACTTTAGTCTTTCTCGCTATGCCAAATGTTATACAAATGAGGTTAATGCAGGTGGCCATATGCCTGTCTACTAGAAGTCAGTTTCAACTAGGACAGATTTTCTTAATTGTAAATGACATGTCATTGATGGGTATACTATTTTTTATCACTTTGTATGTGATTTGCATTAAAGTAAAAACGTCTTCTTTTTCATTTAAATAAATTTAAATGACATTATATTTACAAAACACGATTATGGTATAAGTCTGATGTTCTGTAGGGGGATCTGGATTAAAAATTTTCGGTGCTCAACCTGAATTTTCCTCAATCATTGTTTGTGTTTTCTGACTTATTCTGCATCTCTGATTTTTAACAACTAATTTTTATAAAATACTATTTTTAGAAACCAGTTTTTTCTACATGAAATCTACATCTATTAATTTTATGATTTTGCTCATTTAGTATATTTTTCTGCAATAAAGGATGTGCCCAAAATGTTTAAGTTAACAAAAATTGCTTAAATATAGTGGATATTCTGAGAAAAAGGGAAATACTTTGAAATTTGTGAACAGAGAGGATATTATAAATTTTTAGTACAGTGTGAGGATTGGTTCTTTGATGTATATTTATGCTAAGCACTTTAATGAATGCTTTACTTTTTAATCAAATTCTTATATATGTTTGTTTTTTTATATTTTTTTTTGACTAATTAAATCTACATACTTCATTCCTATGACAAAAAGTATTTTTTTTAATACTAAATAAATTATTTCTGATTAGGGAAACGAGGAATGTTTACTGGAGTCTCTGGATTACGCATTGCTTATCTAAGTGGAGTTGAGCATAAAGATTCTAGCCGCTACACATTTAATAGAAAAGATGTGACAGAGATTTTAACATATACATCCCAATTCAATATTGATATTTTATTAACATCCCAGTGGCCTAGAGGAGTTTCAAAATTTGCTAAAGAGCCAGTAAGTATTAAAAACTACAGTTAATATTTTTCACACAGACATTTACAAACTTGTTTATTAACCTTCTGGGTATTATTAATTGAAATAAGCTTATATGGTATTTTCCGATCAAATTTACTACACTGATATCTCACCTAATTGTGATGCTACTTTTCAGGCCTAATGGGAAGAATAGAATTTTACCTAATTCAAATTATTGCTTAATTTGTTTGTGAAAACTTTTCTTTTATAGAAAATGTATCACTCTTTATAACATCTTAAACGGAAATAAATAAGAGTATTTTTTTTAATTCTCTAATGTAATTGTAATGAATTGTATTTCATTATTTAAATTAATAATATGACAATTTATAAAAATGGACTTTTATCTAAGTCATGTACATGTGTTTTGTACTTGCTTTTAACTGCAATTTTCCTCTGTTACAGTTCTGTAGAATTGCTGCAAGTAATCAATGGAATAATATATTTTAGAGAATAATATAATGGAATAATATATTGTGTTTTACCATTGTTTGAAATAGAAAATTTCAAAAATAAATATTTGGTTTAGTTGTTACATTTTTAGGTTTTAATTATTTCCTTTATTTTTCTTCTTAGGAGCACATTGAAAATAAAGATTCTAATTTAATTGCTTATTTGGCTAAGGAGTTAAAACCTAGATATCATTTTTCTGCTTTATCTGAAACTTTTTATGAGCGACTGCCTTACAGGTAATGTATATTTGACTTTTTTTTTTCTATGTTTAGAAAGTTGTATTTTCATTCATTCAAAAAGAAATTCTTTGTAGGCTATTATTTTTTATAAATTAAATGGTTTTCTTAACTTCTGAAAAATTTGGTAAATATTTTAATTAGGGAAAAGATATATTTTTTAGCATTAAATTACTATTTTTCACCTATAACAATATCCATATCACCATGTTTTGCAAGGTTTTTTGCCCCAGATTAGGAAGTTCTTTTTTAACTATCGACCATCCTGACTTATAAAATTTTTTACTAGAAGGATATCAGGTTTTATTAAACTTAAATTTAGTATTTCTATTGATGTATATATATTATATATAAACCAAAGAACCTGCTGTTTTAACCAAGAACATGTAGTTATATCAAGTTGATGGCTTGGTGTAGCCATTTTTGGCTCTTGTCTCAAAACCAAAGTAATTAACAAACTTTTTTGAAAGAGATTTAAATAAATATTTCATTCTTGAATTAACATATTGCTTTAGGTAATTTTGAGTATTTTGGAAAATACAATATAAGAATGACTTTCTGGAATTAAATGAACCGGAATTTTTGAAAAGTTTAAAAAATGTGTAAATTTTTTCCTATTTTTTTATAACAATCTCTCTTGTTAAAATAGGTTTCTCATGAAATGAAAGAGGGATTGGAAAATTCGAAAATCTACTATAACTTATGCCTAAAAGAAATTATGCCTAGTGGAATAAATGCCCTTCCCCATTAAGTTCATTCAAATTTAAACTAGCAATTACAGGGTGGGCTTTCTGAAAAAGAGGAAGCCTGGAATTCCCAGAAAATTAAAAATACCTTGAATTCTCAAGAAAATTCACAAATTAGCTTTGAAGATTTTTTGATTTTTAGCAATTAATAATGATCACAGATAATTTCACTGTAAATATAGATCAATCTATTGTTATGCATTTTTAAAACTGTTTTATATAACCTATTCTGTGGCACTGTTATTTTTTTTCTTGTCGTCAGTGTTGTTTCCACTTTCTATTAAACAAGAATTATTTTTTAAATTCGAACTATATTTTTTAAAACATTGAAATATTAAAAATTTTCTTTAGCTTAACCTAATTTCTCTAAAACTTAAAACAAATTATGGTTTTTATCAAACAAAATTATGGCTTTTATTCATTTCCTTATTTTGTTTTATATCATAAAATGTTTAGCACCACAAATTGAAAAAATTCAAGTAGAAAAAAATTAAAATTTTAATTTAAAAAAAATTCACATTTATAATTATTTCTTTATCATTGTTATAAATACGTTAGAATATTTCTAAAGTATGATTAATATAGTCCTAATTTAAATTGTAAAAATCTAAATAAGTTTTAGAATTTTATTCTGGAAATGTCAGAGAATTTGGCTTTGTCTGGAGAGTGAGTACTTTGAATTAGTACTGAAAGAGCACTTTTCTCCCTATTTTGTAAACCATGATCCATACAGCACCAAATGTAACAGTTACATTACAAAATAGAAATATTTTGGTAATTGTAAAATGTAACTAAATTTTGAAAGTATTTTCCCTGTTGATAACAAAATGTCATAATGTCCATTTCATAACAAAAAATACAAAAATAATAGTTACAAAACTTTTCAAATGTTTGACTAAAGAAAGGTTTTTGAAATCAAACTGATATCACAGTTTGATTCTAGTAAGCTTATAATTAGGTAAGAGATAACTTGCATAAGATGAAGTGATGGAGGGGTGGAATAAAAATGGGGATGGTATTTACCAAACATTTTAGCTCTTTTGCTCAGTAAAATTTTAAAACTGCATTTTTCAATTAAACTAAAAAGGAGAAGATAGATTTGTTTTATTCGGACCAAAAACAAAAATCGTAAGGCTTGAAGAATCATTTCGTAGAAGTTTATTACTAAAGTAATTAGCAGTTATATTGCTAAAATAGTAACCGTACAACCTCTTGCAAACTTGACTTTATAATAATAGAGAATAATGATAAAAGAATCGAACTCCAGTCCAAAGGGGCAATGGTTCGATCCTTGACTCCACCAAGACCCACAGATTACATGCGATATGCATGTTTGTAAATTCTGTGGAATCAAAAATTGTGTGATCAGTCTCTGAGCAATATCTGGAGACAATTTCCTTCCCTTTCAAATATGTGTCTAAGTTGAGGAAGTGGCCTTACAAATGATTGGTTGCTGCCATCTTTTCATGGGGTTCTGATCTAAGAAGTACTTTTGTTCTTGCAGTGCTCTCTTGTCTAACAAAAAGCACACCTTCCTGACTTAATTTGTAAAAGGCTAATTGTTGGCGAGCTTGGTTTGTCCTTGTATCATTAAAAACAACTACAACAGAATCCAAACAAATTTGCTCTAGCCACAATGAAAGTTTTGAGAAATAAAAATTATAAACACTCATTAATGGTTAGACAAACTTAAAATATTATTGCTTACAATAAATTAGTTCAACCATTAAGAACTATGCAAGTAAAACAGAAATGCCAAGAGAAATATGAAATACAGAGATATTATAATCTCCTCTTTATGAAAACATAAACAAATTATTTAATAATACCTTACAATTAATCAAAATCAATAAAATTTCTACAAAGCAAATTGAGTAACAATCACAAGACAAATAATATATCAGGAATTTCTTTGATAAACAAATGAAATAACACTAAAGTATAAAATTTATAAGTATTTTTATTTTATTTTAAAATAAAAATAAATGACTTCTGACATAACAAATTGATAGGAATATTATACGTATAAAACTTTCTCACTTATTCTTTGGATGGTACAGAAAATATCATTGTATCACTGACTTAATACAACTTGATGATGCCATTACAGCTATAAAGAATACAATAATTGCTGATAATAGTTGTCTATGTGGTTGAGTTTCAAAACAAGAAATCTGATGTTACAACTCAAGGCAAAAATTTATAGCTTCTTAAATTATTTTATTATAAAGTCAGAAAAACAATTGTAGCAGAAAACAAAATTATAAAAATTTTAAGATATGTGTGTTAGCAGGATAGCACTTTATCAGGGGACACACTGCCCGCTAACACACAGCAGCCTTTCTGTTGTCAGTTGTGAAACCAAAGACCCAAAGTGCTCTGAGGCCCTATAATCGAAAATCAAATAAGAAGAAGCAATTAGAAAAATTGAAATGCAAATAAATGCAAAGAAAAATAAATGACAAACTATTACAAAGTAAATCTTAATGACTTATAAGTACACAAAATAAGACATAATAAAGAAACACTCACATATAAGAAAATTAAATAAATTTAGTTAGAATAGTCACATCAAAATAACATATAAATTGCCTAATCATTAAGAAAACTTTAGAAATAAATAAAGTGCTGACTCCTTGGTGAAAATCTTGAAAAAATAAAATAGAAAACGTTCAATTAGTAAAAATTTGAAAAAGGTGCTGCCATCTATATTCTTCAGGAACATAAAATCCTAAATTTCACCGCATAGGCATATTTATGCGGGCTTAAGGAAAATTATTATTCTCTATCATAATCCTGAAATTCCCAATAGCTGGAAGAAAATCTATTTTATTATTACAAATAAGTTTAAATCTAACAATTTGACCAATCAAGATATTCTTTAAAATCTTAAAGTAAAGGTTAGAATTAAAATGTGTTAAACTAATGACATTATACTTAAAATCTCTTCTTTTATCGTATAATCTGATGGTTGGTTGGTTTCGTATGCCTGTTCAGGCAGAGGGGTGCGATTGTTCTTCATTTCCAATGGCGGCATCTATGGTCAAGAATTCGACTTCTGCCACACCCATTTGTTGCACCCGTTTATAGCCCGGACCCATTCATTCAGCCATAGATCGTAATTTTGACCTAAATCAGAGAACGATTGATCTCCAATCCAGTACCCCCAGAGGTATTGATTTGCTATGGGAACATGGAGGACTTTCTGACTCAACATATTTAACGTGCATCAGTCATCATTTTACTACACGGGGTTCGAACCCACAAACTCTCAGACTTAGGCCCAGAACCCTACCGACCAGGCTATCCCGGCCCGTATAATCCAATGAAACGTTTTTGGTTATGAAGTTTGATATCAAGATCTAAAAAATAAGCAGAATTTTCATCTGAATTAGTCTTAATTAAATTTAGTTCTTTATAATAAAATTAGTTCTTTATGTAATTAAATCAAAATCATTTCATTCAAAAATAATTAAATCATCAATAAATCTAAATCAAATTAATAAATTATGTTGTAAGAAATTTTGTTCATAAAAATGTAAGAAAATATTAGCAAATGCACTTGAATAACAATTTCCCATTGAAATACCTTGAATTTGTGTGTAAAAACAAATACCATTAAAAAGATAATTTTCAAAAATGTGTATATTACATAAATATATCCGGTCTTCCTTATTAATGTCCTCATTATTCAAATATTTGTCAAATATTTCCAAACAAATATTCCTTAAATTATTGTCTGCTATACTCGCAAAAAGATTTTCAAAATCACATGTGAGAACAGTATTAATATTATTGTAATTCAAATATTTAAAAACGTCTTTGTTGTTATTAAAAATTAAATGCTTATCATTTAAAAAAATCTTATTTAAAATAATGTTTAAATAATTAAAAAATCTTTTACCAAAAACAGAATTATAACAGCCAGTACTGCAAGTTACAAATCTAAATTTAACCGGTGTTTTATGGAATTTAATTGTAGGAAATAAATAAGGATTACTAATGCTATTGATTTTTAAACCAATTTTCTACAGCTATTTCTCTATATTTCTAAAATCTAATATTCGATTATCAATTTCATTTTTAGAATTATTAATTTTGTCAAAAGTATTGTTATCATATTCATTACTCATTAAATGTCTAAAAAAGTTTGCAAATAAAACAAAAATTATTAGAAGCTTTGTCAACAACACATATAATAAAATTATATTTTAATTCCTTAATAGATTTAATAATATGAGAATTCAGATAGAAACCTTGGTATTTTATTTTATTGTTCAAATATTTTTAATTTAAAATAATTTAAAACACAAAATTTCCATTCACTAAATCCCTCTATAGGCCAAATAAATTTTCTTGAGCATTTTGCAATAAAACAATCTAAATAATTGCTGATTGAAACTATTTTGATTTATTATTTTAAATGTTACTTACTTATTTTGTCTTTTTCTGAATTTGTAAATTAGTTTCATTCTTTGATTAGATTATTTTATTATACTATGTTTAAGTTATATGAAAATTCTTTTCCTGATCATACAGACAATTTTATTTCATAGATATAAGAATACAAACTAACAAAAATATAAATTTTTCCTTCAAAGATTGAACTTAAAATTTGTTTCCTTATGTAAGCATTTAAATTTTAAAAACCTAACAAATGCAAGATGTAAACAAAAAGTCTAAACATTACAATACAAAAATTATTTGTTTAATACCCTTGAATAATTTTTTGATCGTCAAATTTTAAATGAATATTCATATAATCAATACATATAATTATATAAATATTGATTATATAAATAGTTTGAGATCTCTTGAAGAATTTCAGCATTGGTGATAATGTCATTATTTTGCTATGATCATATTTCTAACTAAAAAAATAAGAATTATCTGTTATTAATGCAATAATGTTATTTAAAAATTAATATAATTCTTACTGAAAGATAAGCCAAAACTTTTCAATAACTCTTGAGAAATGTCTTTAACAGGTTTTAGCTGGATGTAGTTTATATCTGTACTAACATGGTCATGCCAAAGTCACGTGTTGCTCATAGTAGTTATCAGGTTTATCGCAAAAATAGTAGCTGCAGAAACATTTTTTCAATACCTTTTGTTATGCTGATTATTTCAACTCTGAATTACTGAGAAAGAGATGAATGGAACTAGCCTTGTGTGTAATAATGCAATGTTGTATCCACAGATTTTTTTAAATCAATGGTGAAATCAGTCAATGACACAAAATATTATGTATTTGATATTTTTATTGTAATATAAGGTACTTGTATATTTTTAGGAATCATAAAGTTTTGCAAGAAATACCTACCCATGTAACCAGATTTATTGGACTAGCTTCAGTTAACAATAGCAAGAAACTAAAAGTAATTTTTTGGAATTAAGTTAACATTCTTAAAAGTGTCTATGAAAAATTCTGATTTTTTTCATCAAAAAATTTTGTGTTTGTATTTTTTTAAGGATTGATGAATTTTTAATTACCATGCCACTTGGACAAATTAGTAAGAATATTTTCCTGCCAAGCACAATTGCTCCATTGAATATGATAAAGAAAATCTGGTTTTCTGTGTATGAAAGCAATCATCCTATCTCAAAAAGTCCTATTATCCTATCCTATCTCCAAAAGTCCTGTCTCAAAAGGAATTCATGGTTCACATTTAAAGGGTTAAGGAAAAATTAGTGACAAACAAAATCTGTTAATTATACAGGGATGAAAGACTTCCACGAAAAAGTGGAAATCCGCTTTTTTCTCCCAATTTTTAAAATTTCCAACCATGTTCCAAAAACTAAAATTTTTGGGGAGTCCAATTGAAGAACCCAAGCCCCCTGAACGATAGTCGGATTACCGCGACTTCTGTTATAGAGTAGAAAGGAGTCTAAGCGTTTCGTTTCTGACCACCGATATTTGATTTCTTTTGTTTGGCTGATTTTCGGAATTTTAAATATTAGGAACTGTGCCGGAATCTGCTAAAATCACGATTTTTAATCAGACGATTTAATATCAATCATCGATTTTCGTATTTAACTAATTTAAAAGTTACGTGCTTTAAAAGTCGTACTAGCAATTCCTATTCACTCAATTTGAAAATCCAATATCGCGAGTTTAAAATCCAACGTCGCGTTTAGTTTTCACGCATTTTTAAATCCAATGTTGAGGTTCATTATCGCTCAGTTTTAATATCAGATATCGTTTTCGTATTTGTACGCTATTTAAAAATTACTCATTGCGATTCGTATTCACGTGATCTAAAAATTATGCATCGTGATTCTTAATTACGCTATTTAAAAATTCAATATCGCAATTTGTATTTTCGTGTTTTTAAAATCCAACAGCGCGATTTATATTCACATGATTTTAAAATCCGAAAACGCGATTTTAAAATTCAACCGCACGATTCATATTCACGCTATTTTAAAATCCAATATCGCAATTCATATTTACGCGATTTTATAATCGAAAATCGCGATTCATATCCCAAAATCGCGATTCATATTCACGCCATTTTAAAATCCAAAATCGTGATTCATATTTACGCGATTTTAAAATCCAACATCATGATTTGTATTCACGTGATTTTAAAATCCAAAATCGCGATTCATATTCTCGCGATTTTAAAATCAAATATTGCGATTCATATTCACGCGATTTTAACATTCAATATCGCTTTTCATATTCACGCGATTTTAAAATTCATTATCATGATTCATATTCATGCGATTTTGAAATCCAAAATCGCGATTCATATTCACACGATTTTAAAACCCAATATCGCAATTCTTGAAAGAAGTAGAAGTAAGTTTTCTCTTGAATTAGTTACTGTAAAGATGTGGTATATTTTTCATTAGTAAGTAATTTATTAGTTGCGCCTTCCTATAATTGCTTAATTTTTTTTGATATGGTAGTCAAAATTTTGAAATTCTATTAAAGAAAAATTTAAAGTTAACTATCTAAATGCTTCTGCCACTTTAAATGTTAAATAAAAATCTCCCAGCATAGTTAAAAGTTGCTTTTATAAATCTCAGTTTCATATAGAGCCCCCCCCCCCCGTCCTCCCAGTGACCTGCTTTGTAAAAGTTCAGCTTTTTTTATTTTTGTCACTTTCATGCCTGATTATATTTAAAACATATATATTAACAGTAAAGGAAATTATTATTTATTGCATTTTTCTTAGCTATATTAATTTTTTATAGCTTTTTATTTGCAACTGAAAACACAGCAAATCAATTTTCAACTTGATAAACTTATTTCAGCCATGATCATATATATACAGTAGGGAACCGATTATCCGGAACGATCGGGACCATCGCTATTCTGGATAACTGATTTTTCCGGTTTTCTGAATCGCTACAGAAAGCCGTTTTTTTATTGTTAAACCCGACTAAAAAAATTTTTTTTTAGAAATCTTAAAAAGAATAAAAAACGATGAAGTAATACACTAATGATAATTTCCAAAATGATGGTAAGGTGAACGTCTTTCAAAAAAGAAAGAAAAATCCTAAAATCCGAGGAAAATTTTTTTTATTAAAAAAATGGCGGGAAAATGTATCGAATTTCGTTCCGGTTTTTTGGTTTTCTGGTTTCCGGATAAAGGGTTCTGTACTGTATATATATATATATATATATATATATATATATACATATATACAGTAGAGTCCTGATTATCCGAGTTAATGTGGTCTCGAGTTAATCTATCTCGGATAACCGAAAAACTCGGTTAAAAGAAAGAGTATAAAAATGGAGAAAAAAAAGAGTAGGTATAGATGTAATTTATTTAACAGATGCAAGACTTATACGAGCCCACCACATACAATTTTTATTATTATTAAAATCTTACTTCAAAGCACTTAAAGAGCATACTTAACGAGAATTAAAGAGTTTTCACTGAAAAAAAGTCCTTAATCATTCTTTGTTTTACATTATTTCGACATGTTTGGCCATTTTTTAAGAGATAAACAGGAAATCTGGTGTCCCCTCCTCTTGTTGTTCTATATATTCAATAGCACTTTCGATAGTTTTTATGATGATTTTTTTTATGTTGAGAGATTTTTAAATGTTGGTTTTTATCGTCACTGTCTTCATCATCTAAGCTAGATTCATTTTCACTATTGATGATATTAACGATTATTTCATCGGTAATCTCGTGTTGTCCTTCAGCTTGTTTTACTGAGTGTTTGGAAGATAAAATTCCGAAATTTTTTTGGCGGTAGTTTTAAGAATAAAAAATAAACTAGAAAAAAAAAGATGTGTGAAATATTTGATAGCTCGGTTAAAGCGGAAACTCGGATAATTGGGGCTATATATATATATATATATATATATATATAAATAGATATACAGTAAAACCTGTCTATAACGATACTGTAGGGACATAAATGAAATATTGTTATAGGCAGGTTATCGTTATAGACAGGTTTGAAATTTAAAAGTATACGTTTAAAGCTAATGATAAATTAAACTTCTTTTATAGGCTCCAAATAAAAATTTTTCTTAGAATTATGAAACAGCACACAAGAAAAATTTACTTACAATTTTATGATTAAAAACAGAAATTATTTAGAAAAATAATCGGTTAGTTTTGTTTGCTTATTTTTGGAAGCAATTGCCATTTCTATGCACATAGATTTCAGTCCATCTAATGAATTCAAATGAACATCAGTTGCATTTGGTAATGTTGCAACAAAAACTTGCAAAGTGTTAATTAGCAATATGGCATTCTCGGGTGAAATTTGAGTCCTATTTTGAGAACAGTCAGCTGCTTCTTCCTCATCACTTTGATCACCCGGGAAAACTTCTGCTAAAATCTCTTCATCACTTGCACCACTGAAAACCAACACATCATTATCTAAATTTGAAAATTCATCTGCGTTAAATAGAAATGATGTATTAGATGATCTTTGGAAATCATTGACAATCGAATTTAAGCCTGCCACACATTTTTCTTCTTCATCAGTGATTTCAGTAAGCTCAGTTTCTACGTTTCCGTTGCTTTTATCCTCAAAGAAAGAAGCTTTCTTCCAACAATTTTGGATGGTGGATTGTGTCAATTAATTCCACCCTTCGGAAATCCAATCACATGCATTTTTTACATCAACTGCATAAGGATTTGGGAGTTTATTTATCCAGATTATAAACAACGTTCTGAAGTAATCTTTTTCGATAGTATCCTTTGAAAAATTTTATTATTCCCAAATCTAATGGCTGTAGAATCGACGTGCAATTTTGGGGAAAATAAAACGATTTTATATTTTTCAAACTTGGAGGATTGCTGTGAGGAGTGCAGTTGTCAACTAAGGGACCTATTTTTTTCTTCTTTCTTTTCATCTCCTTATCCACATCAAGCAGCCAGTTGTTAAATATTTCTTCTGTCATCCAGGCTCTTTTGTTTGCCTTGTAGTCAACCTCTAAACTTTTCACATTCTTAAAACATCTAGGTTTAGCGTATTTGCCTATAACGAACGGCTTCAGTTTATCGGTTCCAGTACTGTTTGCATAAAGTAGAACAGTTAACCTCTGTTTTGATTTTTTACCGCCTTTACAATTTTATACCTTAAATGCCATTGTTTTATCTGGCATGAGCTGATAAAATAAGCCAGTTTCATCAGCATTGTACACGTTTTCTGGAGAATAAGTTTTTTTCAATAGTCTCTTTTTCTCGTTGCTTCCAGGATGCAACATCATTCACTGGAGCTGACTTTTCTTCACCTGAGATGGTTTTAAAAACAATACCATGACGTTCTCGAAATGATGTAATCCACCCATTGCTAGCTTTAAACTCGTTGTTGCCTAGCAAAGACGCAAATGTTCTTGCTTTTTCTGCAATCATTGGACCACTAATTGGCACATTTTGTTGTCTCATTTCGTGGAACCATCTTAGGGTAGCTTTGTCTACATCCTCATTAACTGCACCTTTAAATATTTTCCTTTTACCATCAATTTTGCTTCCTTCCACAGCATCTTCGATATCTTTTCTTTTCTTCAAAAAAGTAGCTATTGTTGATTGTGAAATCCCATATTTCTTAGCAGCGTCAACTTGCTTCAATCCTTGATCAATTTCCGATATGATATTTAATTTTTCTTCAAAAGATAATGCTTTACGCCGAGCCATCACTTCAAAATTAAAATTAACTTTATTGCAAGGAAAACATGCCAGTCCGTAGTGAGTAACGATGAGGACTTACTTATGAATGAGAAGATTTGAAAGTGACCATTCTGAAGGAAGAGCGCCCCCTTGCAACTTGTCTCCTTTCCACAGCTAATGAATGGTGAGGAAAGCAAAACGATTGACCTTCGGAGTGTTCTTTTTAAAGCAGGGATATCATCATTGGCGAGAAACTCCCCCTCCCCCCACCTAAGGGACCACACATTGACGAGACATCGATGCAACAGTGACACGACAAGAGGGGAATCCCTATTCAACAGCATTAAGACGCGCACATTACCTCTGCACTTTCTAATGCTATTGAATAGGAATTCCCCTCTTGTCGTGTCGCTGCCGCATCGATGTCTCGTCAGTGTGTCACCCGTTTTTCTGACGAAGCTCTGTCCCTCCTACAATACCCCTTCACCCGTTTCTACTGCTCTAATTTCCCCTAAAAGTGGCTTTTTTCTCAGAAACAACGAAAAAATATTGCATACAAAGGAGATGAAAAAAACAACAACATTTTGTTATCTCACATTTAGGCTCGATGGGGAGTCATTTTCCAAATCGGAATAGAACTATCAACTATCAAAGGAGGAAAAATTATCGTTGTAGACATGTTTAACTGAAAAGTGGTTATCGCTATAAACAGGTTAAAAAATACATTGAGTAAATAGGAATTTCACCAGGACCTCAAGGAAATATCGCTATAGACAGGTTTATCGTTATAGACAGTATCGTTATACACAGGTTTCACTGTATATATATGGATAACTAACAAACTCCGTTGAAATTGATATTAGTAAACTGTGCAACTCCTTGGAGTTGGTGATATTTAGTCATTAGTTAATGAAAAAGAAGCCAGAATGTTCAGATATTGAAAGCTTTGAAGGGTATACTTTTTATTTTACTTTTTTTTTCTGTTGATATGAAAAAAAAAAAAAAAAAAAAAAGATTTGAATTTAAAAGTTACCCCAAAATTTAGCGAAGAAAAAAGAAAAGTGTCTTAATATTACACTGGTCTGCTACGCACTTTTCTCTCATAAAGTACATCTCGAACTTCGATATCTTGAAAACCTTAATACGTCAAAAAAATATTTTTTCTGCATTTCTAATTTTGTTTAAAAACCTCAGACCCTTTAAGATTCGATTATTAAAGAAAAATCATGTTTACATTGAAACTAAAAAGTCTAACTTAAATTTTTATCATATCTGAAAAATACCTTAAAATAAAAGAAAGTTATGAAATACAAAACTACTTTTTTCTTTTTCGGCAATAATTATCACACATTCCAATTTCATAGAAATGAGCTCTTCTAAACAAATTAGTTTAGCCAGATGTAATTCGAAATTCTCGATCAAAACTTGTGTTGAAAGACTTAACAAAAGCAATATAAAGAACTCAATCAGCTAAACAGCTTAGAACATAGGTTTTAATAGGGAAAAAAATGAAAAAGAAAAATTTATGCTACAACTAATTCGAGAGCGAAAAATTAAAAACTTGACCTTAACATCAGAGGAAAGCCCCCACAACCTAATGAGTTGGTTCTTCATTTTCGCCCATTCATAGATTCCGCACGACCTATTTCCAGAACAAACACGGGTATTTAAAAAATAAATAAATAAATATAAAAAAACAGTTATATAAACAAAATAAACCAATTCGTTGTTGCTTTAAATAGCCAGCATGTAACCTTTTTTTTTTCTTCTTTTCTTTATTTTCTCATTTATACAACTTCCGCATAAAAGGAAGATTAATGCCGTAATTCCACAAATGCGATCAGAATAAATAAATATGAAAAAATGAGGGTTCGCAATCAAATAAATTACTAGAATTGCCATTTCCGCAACAAAACAACAACAACAAAAATGCTTTGGGGGAAATTAGTGTTTTTGAAAATGTCACCGACGCTTTTGAAAGGGCAGTAGCGGTTAAATAACTTATATTGAAATGTCAGCTAAAGACCTTTTTAAAAGCTGGCCACTGAGGTCAAAACAAATGTTATCATAAAACCTTTAAGTCCCCAAGTGTTAAACGCACACAGCATATGATTTATTTGGAAGATAAAGTTCAGTCCATGTGAACTTGGGCTAAATATTTGCATTCAAATGAACTACTATACTATTATGAACATAATCCGTGATAACAGTGGTCAAACAGAATAACAAAATCCTGTTAAAAAGTGCATTTTGCTATGTTCTTTTCATTCAATCAAATGACAACTTATTAGATGATTAAAATATACAAAAACAACTTTTATTCAGACATCCCCTTTTCTTGATTTTTATTTTTTTTTCATTATTTTTCTTAAAAAAGATTCTAAAAAGGTAATGAATCCGAAGAATTCTATTGAAATTAAAATGCTGTACAACAGCTCTTTTTAACAGCTTTAAGTAACCTTCATTTAAATAATTGTCTGGTNATACTGCCATATCACTGCCTTTATTCACATACTTGCAAATATATTTGATGCTCTTCTTTTAAGGGCGAGCATAAGTATTAGAGTTTAAAGTGAATTGTTGCAACGTGCGTGAATATTACTTTTTGATTTATCAGGTTTCTATGTCTAGTTTGGATTGGAATATGATTAAATAAAGATATATTTAAAATATACGTTAAATCTGTCCAAAAAATGAAAAAAAAATTAGTTATAAACCTATTCTCATACCTACTGAATATACATATAAAATTTCATCAAAATCGATCCAGCCGTTTAGGAGGAGTTTAACCACTAAAACTGTGACAAGAGATTTTTATATATATAGATATATATATATATACAGTGAAACCTCCGTTAAGCAGACATTCATGGGACCAAAAAATTTGTCCGTTTATGAGAGTTGTCCGATTACGGAAAGGGTACCCTAATAACGAAATTTAACACCGTAAATTGTTTTTAGAATATTCTCAAATATGTAGAAATAATTAAATAATATCTACAAGGATACTGTAATTATCTACAAGAATATTTATTTAAACAATAAGAAAGATAAAAAGGAATATATAAAGAAGTTTGATATAAATACATAATTCTGGATGTAGCTACAGATAAATAAATATAATTTTCTTCTTAGCATAGATACTCAAGTTAGACATATGATACCAAATAGGAGCGTACTGTCCTCAGTCCGTTTCAATTATTAGGTGCACACCCTCTTACCATTTGATAGGGAACATGGTTAATACCTTCTTGGAAAATAAACCTCCCATGATTCACAGAAAAAAAAGTAATGCATACCTGTAAGTCATGAGGACTTATGGAGATGATTATTTACAATTGATCAGCTATCAAGTGTCTGAATAAATGTTTCATTTATATGAACACCTCAAAGATTATACTTCTGTTCTCTTATTTTTACCCCACTTGTGTTAAATACAGTCTTCAAATTGATAAGAAAATTAAAGAAATTTTCAATGGGGAAGAAGCACTAAGAGAAGTCATTTCAACTTGAGGGGTCTCATAACCTGTGTGCTCCAGATGAAAAGATCAAAAGATGCCGATGTCAGAATTATTTCAGGAGTGCAGTACCATTTTCTCTCCTTCCTTTACAAAGATAAGGCAAGGTGACAGGAGAAAGATTGATTTTTCGGTGGTGAAATAGCTTAACAATATTTTAAGTTATGGATAAGGCAAAAAGTTTTATTTACATGCTTTAAAAATAGTGAAAAGTTGTATTTCTTTAGCTTGCAATTTATTTAGAAAAAGTAGTGCCCAGTTTGTAGAGATAAAAAACAACGTTTCAGGATCAAAATGACTGTCCGCGTCCGATTACGGGAGTGTCCGCTTTGCGCAGAATATACGTGATGGTTTATTCATAGAAGATTCCCGGGGAATTAAAAATATGTCCGTATTGAGAGGCGTCCGTTTTGCAGGAGTGTCCATAACAGGAGGTTTCACTGTATATATATAGAGAGAGAGTAGTTAGTATTATATATATGTATATAATACTAATAGAAATAAACAGAATAATATCAAGTGTACAATCATTAAAAATTGTGTTGCATATAGTATATTCACATGAAAATGTGATAACTGTCTGTGAAGTTCAAGACATTGATTAAAAATATTTTAATTAAGTTGCCATGCAACTCTACAATCAATAACAGATATAAGAAAAGAGTATCAGTTTTGAAACTGGATATTTTTTGCCTGGAATCATGCAATAACTGATAACTGACGAAATAAAAAATTAATACATTTTCTTCAATGCTCTTTCCAGTTCATTCGCAAGAAACTTCCTTAAGAAACTTTTTGTGCAAAATTTTGGATTTCATTATACTTGTCTTTATTCTGGTTTGAACCTTGCAATCACCAAAGCAGGGTAATTTTAACCCTCTTTGTATGTTCTTTCATCTTCCATGGTAAAATTGCTCTAAACCCTAAGCTAAAAATATATTAACAACCTTAACAGATATGCCATAATTAGGCTACATGCAAGAAACTTTTTATTGATGCCACACAGAAAATCTAACACACTTTTCAAAAGTAATGCACCCTACCTTTTTTTTTCGTTTTAGGTGTGATATAGTTAAAATTATTTTCTCTTTTTTAATCCCCTGAAAGAAAATAATTTTTAAATTTTTTGGTATTTCTATTATAAATGATGTAGAGAATGTATTTTCTCAGGAAGTACCAATTAAGAAATCAATTCAACATTTATTACTTATGATTCCCAATAGCAAATTCAAATGGTTGAGAAAATTTTGTTGGTAAAATTAAAGTGTTTTATTAAACTTAAGTGTTTATTAAATTTAGAAAAAAAATGAAATAATTGTGTTTTTTTATAAATTTATTCTGATAACTGTATGTATTATTCGTGTTCCAAAAATATTTTGTTATTTCAGTGGATATATGCATTTAATATCAAACCTTATTGTTCAATGAATTCAAAGCAATTAGCTGAAATAAGTGGACCAGTAACTGAATGTCCATATGAAGATCTTGCAGAAGACCATATAAATGAGGTATATTATTTTAATATCTTAAATGTTTTTTTTTAGTTTTGTAAGAATTTTGTTTGAATATTTGTTTACAATATTTTATAGCATTTGTTAACAATATGTTATGTTTTAGAAAATATTCGGAAAATAAAGTAACAAAATAATGCTTATTACAGCAATAGCAACAATTAATACTTATTCATCACATTATGTTGCATTTCAAATATTACTTAAAACTGAAATAAAATATATGTTTTATAAAGTTTGAGAATAGTTCTCATACAATTTATACTATATGGAAATACAGGGATTCACTATTATCTTATACTTCCCAGCCTTTACTTCCCAGAGAAGCTGGTGCCTATCTATCTGAAGCAGGGTGGGCTTTAAGTCAGCATTGACAATCCAACTATTTTTACCTTTTTCTTGTTTACGATATAGACATTCGACTTTCTAAATTTAAAGTGTTGGCTAAAACTGGATTATATTTACTCTACATTATGCTTAATTTGCTTTCATATTTTAAATTTCTAAATTTTTTGGCTTATTATTGTCTCACAATAAGATGTTTAAAGAATTTTACACATTGTTTCGCTCTGAGCCTGACAAAATCTGACAACAACTCCGTTTTAAGTAGTCCTGCAGTGCACAAAAAAGACCATTCTGATTAATCCTTGTTCTAATGATCGGATCTTCATGCTCTAGGGCTCAATCTCAATGTTTCAAGGGGGTGAGGCGACCTCAAATTTGCTTTTTAATTGGTGCAGATGATATTTTAAGTTACAAAATCAGGCATAAAAACATACTTTCTCTGAATAAACATATTTTTTTTTTTACAGATCCAGATTACTAACCTCTAAATATAGAATCTGGAAAATATGATCCCAATAGTATGATCAGGAGAGCAGTCCAAAATTTGAAGCTTTAATTTTATTTTTTGTGTATTTCACCATTTCTCAAAAACTTTTTAAATGAATTGGCAAATTTTATCTTCACTAAAATTAAGTTTTTAGCTGAAATAATTGCGCACAATTTTAAACTTCGTTTATCTAAAGATAGTTCCATGTAGAAAATAACTTTTTATTATTTTATTTAATAATAGTAGAAAAAATGTTGAATTGTAAGGTATTCCAATTTTCAACATCATTTTAAAGAATGTAATTTTAAAAAATTTGAGCAAAATCGGTCGGGGAATGGGAACCTGGGAATGCCAATTCCAAAAATACCACTTTAAGTCTTTTTAATGGGGTCTAAAATTACATGACATTCCTACCATGGCCATTAAGAAAAAGAGTCCTGAAAAATCAGGGCTATGTGTTTTCCCATGGTTGTGTGGTAACATATCATAATTAGTAATGGACTTTAAGTAACATAACTGGCAATGTCTAGTTAACTCTATTTTTTATTCTCACATTATTTATTTATTGCAGTTGAAAAATAATTAATAATTTTCAATAAGTTTTGAAGTAGCATCTTCTTGTAATTTCATTTTGTAACATTCCTTGGTCGTTTATTAAATATTTCGACTTTTTGGGAAGTTTGCACATACTAGGAAGTGTTTTATTTTAATGATAAGGATTTGTACACTATTTCTGTTAGTAAAGAAAAAAATGAATCATAAGGTAGTTACATTTAATTTTTCTTTTACTTTACCTTCAGCCAATTTATATCAGAATCTTTTTCAATCTTTTTCTATATTTTTTATTGTATTTTATTATATTCTGGTTCTATATTTTTTGACTGATATTTTGCACAGAACCCAGTATGTTTGCATTCAAAAAGTTCTATTCTAATTATATAAACTTTTTAAGATTATATAGTGGGATCACACCAGTAATGAAAATTTAGTGTTCCAATAAGACCACCTAGATATTCATTTAGCGGTCCAAAAACTTAACATGGTAGACAAAGTTGAGGAAAAAAAATCAAATCTTACAATTACATAATTAATGTTATAGTACACATCAAAAATTAGTAATTGCCATCTGTTACACCCTAAAACTAATTTCCATTGCCCCATAATGAATGAAAATTGGTATTTAATAAAATAAAATTAAAAAAAGCTAAAATAATATTAGTAAACAGATTTAACAAAAAGATTAAAATGCTTTGACCAAATAAATAAATGAAGAAAACAGAGATGTAAGATATTACAATTATATATACCTAAATATTATATACACCTAATAAAATATTATATTTAAAATTAATTACCTAAAAAATATAAAATTCGAATTAAAGTCAAGTCCATTCTTAAAGAGTAAAAAACAATGTTTTATTGATGAACAATTACACTGTCTGTACATGAATAATCTCACTTACGCATCTGAAACCTGGACCTTGTCCCAAGCTGATGAGAGGACCATCGCTGCTTTCGAGAGGAAGATACTCCGGTCCATTTTTGGTGGTGTGTGTGACAAGGGAGTGTGGAGAAGGAGAACTAACTCTGAACTCTACAGGATATTCAGAGAACCGGACATTCTGAAGTACCATAAGATCCAGCGCATGAAATGGGCCGGACACATTGTAAGAATGAATGATGACAGAACAACTAAAAGAATCTTTTTGGCAAGGCCAACTGGAGCTAGAAAGAGAGGCAAACCCCGACTGAGATGGGCGGATTGCCTCCAAAGGGACTTTACCACAATCAAGGTCAGAGACTGGAAAGCCGTGGCATGCAAAAAGAAGGACTGGTGTAGTCTTCTTGAGAAAGCCAGGGTCCACCGAGGACTGTCGAGCTACTGATGATGTACATGAATAAAAAGCACAATACAGCATGCAAATTAGAAATATCAACATATAAATTAAAAAATTTTTGTACTAGACACTTTCAATTATTCTGTTTGAAAAATTTTAAAACTAAATTCTAACCTATGCATAGAACATTGAAATAAGTACAACAATTAATTTCAAATGCTAGGCATTCGATGCAAAGAAAAAATATTTTCATTACTATTTTGTAATTTTGAACATATTTCAAAATGATAATTTTATTGCCTGGTCCCTGATTTTAGCAATATTTGTAGAACATTTGGCGATAACTGTCGCCAGACTGCTGTGAACCCTATTTATTCTGAAATTATTCATAAGCTGATTATCAAATTCTTGTGAATAAAATAAGTAATTAAATGTGTTTTTCGGAATGTTTATATTTTTTTTGCTATATATTTAGTTAAGTTACCTACCAAATTGAAAGCTATTGTTTAATTTTTTTTTCAATAAAGTTTTTCTATGATACCAATTCTAAGAAGCAGAAACGAGCTTTCAATATGGGAGAAGAAAATAAGCCGAGGAAAAGAGAAAAATTTTCTGGTAATTAATTTTAGCTTATTATTAATGATTTTTCAATCATACAATGCATGTCTATCATTGCATTTATGAAAAAAAAATAATATTGTAAATTTATTAATATATTAATTTATTAACTCACTGTTATTTATTCTTGTTACACTTATTTGGTTAATTAAATTAATAACATATTGGTTAATTTAATAAGTCTTTTTATAATAACCAATAATAAAAAATGTGTTCTTTCTAAAACTCTTACTTCATGTGAATAGTGTTATGCATCTTATATCAAGCATAAAGTTTAGGTTTTTAGACATTGTTCTTAATGTTTTGAACTGACTTGGTTTTGTAAGGCTTGAAGCAGCAATTACTTTTGGGCTCTATTTACTTGAATCTGTAGTGTCTGAAAAAGCAGTAATTCCAAACATCAACTTTTTCTGTAAAACAACGTTAAAAGAAAAAATACTGCAAAAGGGGGAAAAAGCCAAAATTTGGTTAAAATCACAAAACTTTACAATTTATGTGTTACCTAAAAATTAAATATTTTTTCTATATATGAAAAAGTATTTTAAAAAGAGCCGCTTGAATGGTATTAGAATAAAAATTTAATTTTTTTTATTTAAATAAATTTTTTCTTTTTTAGAAATTTGACCTTTTTTAAACTTTGCAGACCATGTGTGACCTAAAGACAGATATTTTTTTTACAATAAATTAAGAATGTCAAAGTACTACTTTTTTACTATTAGAAGTCCCTTATCTAAGATATCCATTTTTCAGGGTCTGCTCTAATATATATTACTTGAAAAAGTTTTGTGTCGACAAAAATATAACCATATCTAAAAACTTTCATTATCTTCTAAAATGTGGTAGTTATGACTTTTAAAACATTAAGCCAGGAAATTATGTCTCTGTATACCTTGCAATTAATATTATTCATTTGCATTAGTTAAAAGTTTTATATTTACCCTGTTTTTCTAATTGTTCTGTCTCTCTCTCACAAAATGCAAAATAGTCTATTTGAGTTTTAAGAACATGTTTACACCAGAACAATAAAAGGGTTAATATCAGTACATAACAAAAAGATATCAATAACTATCAGATGCCGGAGCAAAAATCAAATCACAACTTTTTACTGATCTTTTGCAACTGAGTTAACATCAATTCTGATAATTTTTTACTTTTTCGAAACTAATGTCAATTTTTAAAGGTGTTTTATTTTTAATATGTGTTCTCTATTTCAGCTACTTTTTGTCTTAAATCATCTTTACTTTCTGTTTCAAATTGACTAGAATTTTAATCCATTGAAAATGAATTGAGTTGTATCAATTACTCAGAAGGTAGTTATAACTCGGTACTGTATAAATTCACTAAATGGTGAGTTAGTTTCTTTCAAAGTTTCAGTCCCATCGTCCTGTTGTAAGCAAATTCTCACTCCTAAGTTTGAGTTGTGTTGGTGTTCTTCTTTGGGAGTGCAATATATTGTTTGTATCACTCTTAGACTGATTGCCTTGTGGAGGGGTAACTATTTTAAGAACAAATTATTGTGTTTAAGATGACTCATTAAACTAAATATTTAAGCAAAACTTTAGTTTTGTTAGAAACCAAAACTGTTTATTGGATAGGTGCTTATACATACATCCTAACATAATTGCAGACATTATACTGAAGATGGCACATTCTTCAAAGGAACCTATTTATTATTTTCTTGAAATTCAAGCATTGTTAAACCATACTATTTAGCATGTTATTTTTAATAATGGTTATCTTTGTTTTAAAAGTCTGAAATATGATAAAAATCTCATTTGTCTTTATGCTTTGCTAAAAAATTAATTCTAATATAACTATTTTTTTATTCACATTTACAGTTACTCAAGATAATTGCTGGTTTTGCTTAGGAAATCCAAGTGTAGAAAAACATCTATTAATTAGTGTTGCTGATTATGTGAGTATACTATATTATGCAATTTTTTTTATGTCTTCTTTATATTTGTGTTTATTCCTTATAACTTATTGTTTCTATAATTTGCTTAAAGAATCTTTATAGCATTACATTTATTTAAGAAAATTGTTTTTTTGCCAATATATACTGTTTTAGTATTTCTGTTCTTCCATATATTTTCTATTACCTCTTCCATTGGTACCTTATGGTTAATGATAAAGTTTTGTATCTTTCTATATTGTTTATTTTTCATATCATACCAATAAAAAATGAACTATAAATCACAAACTTTTTCATGAAAGGTAAAGGAAATGACCATTTTCAGTAAAAATTTAAGTGGTTTTGCTGTAGCATATTTTTAAATGAAAAATGTTCCATTGAGACGAAATTGAATACTGATATAATAGTAGAAATTAAAAATGTAGAAAGTATAAATAACATTCACAAAAATATTCAATAGTTTGTGTAACTGTTTGCATTGTATGAATCCCAATAATTATAAAGTTGCAAAAATTAAAGCTTCAAAATTATCCATAAAACAATAAGAGACATTAACAAAAATAATGTCTGAACACTCATCTCTAAAATCTATGATTTCTTGGTTGTGTCAGTTAATTGAAATGAAACAAGCCATTTTTGCTTCCTTGAAAAAGAGAGCAAAATTATATAGCCTCGTGCTAAACCAGTTTTTAATCATTCTGTTGAATAATTCTAAGAAAGCAAAAATCCTCTTTCTCCCCCATTTCTTTATTTTTCCTCAATGCATTTTCAACTTGATGTAGTTAGGATTAAAATAAAAAAGCCTGTTTGCAAGAGTGGGTAATGGAAGGGCATTTGATATTGATAGCTTGTTCAAATTTCTTAAAAATTACAGGGCGTGCTTGTTTAGTGTAACAGGATATAAATCTTTATTTAAGAGTTTTTATGATTTATTTTATGTAATAGTACTAAATTATAATCTCAAGTTTACAATTTTCTATAATTGGCTAGTTTTTTATTTGCATTTTTGCTAATAAAATTGTTGAAGCAGTTTTAACGTTTACTAAATTAGACTGAAGAATTATATTTAAAAAAAAATTCATATAGCATAGCTGCTGATTCACAGATTTTCTGGAAGATTTTATTTTTATATTTAATATAGAGCAGAAATTTGCAGTTTTTATTTAATTTAAAACAGTTTTCGCCACCACAATATATGAATAAAATAAATACAGTGGAACCTGTAAAAGTGACCACCTGGGTTAAGTGAACGCCTGAGTAAGGTGACCAGTTTCTACTAGTTTTATTTCAAGAGTCCTTTTTAAAGAGTCTTCGTAAAGTAACCACCTCTATATAGTGACCATTTGACTTGGTCCCGAGGGTGGTCAATTTAGACAGGTTCCACTATATATATAAATTCATGATAATCATATAACCTTGCATTTATGGTATGGCAAAATATATATATAAAAAAAATAGTTAGGCCTAAAATTGTAATTCAATTGTGCACTTATTCCGAATCATCTTCAGAAAGATTAAAAGTTAGCATATGATTACAAGAGATTATTAAAATATATTTTTTAGAAATTCAAGTAACATATCTTCTAAAAATTTTTGATCGATATGTAGAGTAAATGCAAAATATTTTCATACAGTTTTTTTTAATCACAAAATGAAGCTCTAAGAATAAATTTCACTTTTATTTAAAATTCAAATATCAATACCTCTTGTTTTTTTAAACTTTTCATTTGATTATCTGAACTGCAGTATCTTTGCTGTTCTTTGCAGTATCTTTGGAGTTGATAACTAATATGTTGATTTTAAAATTCTTACTTTTTAATCTAAATTTTTCAAGGTTCTAAGAAATTAAAAAATTGAAAACCTTAAATTTAAATATGGGTACTGAATGGGAATGCTATAATTTGTAAATACAGTTATATTACCAATAGTGCAAAACCAGTAAAAGAAAAAAATTGTATTGTAAAAATAGCATACGTTTTTGGAATGTAAATGTGAAATTGCTGCATTTTCCAAAGAGTGTTAATTGTGCTTGAACTATTCCTATTTATACTCAATTTGTATTTAATATTGCACAAAAAATAAGTACTCTTATTTAAATTGCTTTTTGCATTTAAATTTGATTATAATTTTTGAATTGATTTAATATTTTCATTAGAGTTATTTAGCATTACCTAAAGGAGGCCTTGTTGAAGATCATTTGCTTATTTTACCAATTGAACACAAAGATGCTGTTGTGAATGTATCAGAACCAGCTTACGATGAAATTTACAGATTTAAAAAAGTACTTTCCAAATATTTCTATGATAATGGAAAAGATGTAATATTTTTTGAAAGAAATTTAAGTTCAGCTCATCTTCAAATTCAGGTAATAAAAGTAATTTTCACTGAATTAATTATTCAACGTATTTATTGTTAAGAGAAATTGAAGTTTAAAATTTTAATCAATTAAAATTAGACACATATGAATTTTTAAAGCTTACATTTTTACCATTCACTTTTACTTAAAATCTTTGTGAACTTCGTTTATTATGAACTATTAGCTACGATTTTTTTTTGCAGCTAATTATTTATATTAGCCTAAATATGTTTAAAAATTCTTTTACAAACATAATTCAATTTTGTTTTATATAATTCATGTTCTACTACTAAAAATGTTTCTGCAGGTGGTTCCTGTTCCAGATAGCGTAACTTCAAAGGTTAAAAATACAATTCTAGAATTAGGTGCTGCTCATGGAGTTGAATTTGATGAATTGCCTGAATTTTCTTTGATTAAACAGGTGAGTTTTGTAGCCCTATACAGACACTTATTTTCATTGAACATTTAACTAAATTCTTTTTGTACAAGTATATTTTTGTACGCGGTAGCAGAACTAACATAGTGTCAGATGATACAGATTTATTCTGAACTAGCAGGCAAAATTAAGTTAAACTAAAAAAATTATGTCCTGTGTTAACAGTTCATTTTTCAGCTTTTTAAAGAGTAGGACCCACAGACAATAGTTCAGAATCGAGGGCATCCAAAACATTTCGAATAAATTATGAAAACATAAAAATCACGAGGATGGAAAAATGCTAAGAACAAATGTTTAAAATTGATAATATAAAAATTTGTTTCAAAACTGAGAACCTTTAATAATTGTTTGCTCTTAAAGTGGTCTTTTTTTCAATTTTAATTATTATATTGACAAAATGTGATAAAGCGAATTTTGATCCTCGATAAACAGGATGGAGTCTTTTAGAAATGAAGAAAAAAAATTATGTTATAGGACCTATTTCTTCTTCAGTTAATATCTGGGAATAAGGTTTATGATAGTTCAATATGAAATACTTTCTTTTGATGAACTGGATGATCTTTTCTCTGTTCTTTTGTTTATCTAAAGCAGAACATTGGTTGCAAAAAGGGGTGCTACTCAATTTTTTTTACAGGTTGCAGGGTTGCAACATTTAAAACACTTTGTTTTAAACTTGTTTGAAACATCAAATAAAACAAACATATGTTTCAAATATTTTTTTTAACGTTTAAGTTAGAAAAACAATTTTATTTTTTGTAGTATAACAGTGTCTAGTCTAACAAGTAGTTATTTTCTACTTTTACCTATAGACAATAAAAATTTTACAAATCCTAAAATGTTTGCTATTTTTTTAAAACTTTTCTTATATAAACTATAATTTTCGATTATAAAAACTATAACTAAATTATACTGTTCTATATTTATATAATATTTTTAAATCTAATGATGCAACAACAAAAAACCATTTTACTGTGGACCCATGCTTTAGAAAAGACTCTTAAACACTATAAGAACAATGGAATGGACTACTATGCTGCTGGGCTACACTCTGAATTGTTGTCCAAAATTATAAATTTCCAAGTGAAGCTAGCATAATTCTTTCCCTCTATGTTTGTTGCGGTTGATAGGATTGCTGAACAGAAAAGAAATAACAGCAATATTTACTGCTAAAGCTACAAACATTGAAAAGAATTAAACTTCTGAAGAATTAGTAAAACTAAAGTATACTGACTTTACCCCATTATTTTGGTAGCTATGCCTATCAAATGATATTGATGAAAATGTTATTACAAAAGAGTTGCATACAGCTGTAGGATTAGAAAGAATATTCCCAACATTTGGTTTTGTACACATAAAATACAGAATAGTTTGGATATTACTGAATCTCCAAAGCTTGTAACATTATTCAAAGCTCTGAATAAATAATTTCTTTTTACATTCTTAAATTAAATATGATTTAAAATAAGGTTCTATCAGATTTAAAAAAATTAAGAATGTGTATAAAAAGTATAATGGCTCTCAAATAAAAAACAGTTTTTCTCCAACCCTGAGGGTGACAGTAAATATTGTGGTTGAACTTTAACACATTCTTAAACAAATTCTCTTTTGGCTATAATTTTTTATTAATATTTTATTTTAATTTAGTCGAATAATTTTTACCTTAGCATATTCTATACACGTTTTTGTACTAATGTTTGTTTCATTGGTTTGGTATTGTTTACTTATTCTGTTTCTTTTGGACATCAAGTAAATGTTCAGCTGTTTTGGAACTGTTTCTTTAGAGGGAAAGACAGTACAAAATCGTTAGTTTGCTAAATGTACCTCAATAAACTGTTTCCATGGGTGTCAACAGCTTTAAAGAGCTTGTACATAAGGGTGATGAGGAAGAAAATGCACTGATATCGCATCTAGGAATAGTACGATTGTCAATAAGCAAGTAGAATAAGTTCAAGTCTTCATAATACAAATCTTATGTGAATCAATCGTAAATCAGAGTAGTAAATAGCAAAAGAGAGGCTAAAATCTCAAGCACAGACATCAAAAACTTAAGTTCATTAAAGAAGAACAAGCATGAGCCGGGATAGCCTGGTTAGTACGGTGTTGGACCCATGTCCAAGAGAGTTCGATTTCTGCCAGCCAAAGACTTTCCGTGTAAATAGTGATTGGTGCACATTAAATTTGTCAGGTCACAAAGTCATCATGTTCCCTTAACAAATCAATACCTACTGGTATTGATTTGTTAAGGGGTACTGGTTGAGGTCAAAATTACGATCTGTGGATGAATGAATCAATGGGTCTGCCCTATGAACGGGCTGTGAGGTATGTGTGCTCAAGTCATATTCTTGGCCATATATGGGACCACTAAAAAACAAGAAACCTACTCACTGCCATAAATTCGCTTGGTTTCACCTTGCAGGCTCACTGATATTGGTTATTAGCATTAGAAACAACAACAACAGAACAAGCATGCGTGACTCCAAAGATGGCTTCAATTTAAATACCAGGCTGCAGGTCAGTTATGAAAGTGTATCCTCTTCATAGACACGGAAGTATTCACAATAGAGCTGGTGCACAAACACCGAAATGACAGAACTTGATCCATTGATACTCTCAGTAACTTTTGTTATCATTGAGAAGTGGCAAGACACCTCTTGTTTTAGTAGATCAACTGGTCAGAATCAATCAAGAAGTGAACTGGCGGCACATCCTAGAGTTTGTGGTACTTCTGTAGTCCTAAAAGCACTTCAGCAATGCAGATTGGGTGTTTAAATCGGACAAAACTCCAGCTCACTAAGCATAAAGGACACAGGAGTTGTTCAAGGAATATTTCTGGAATTTCCTCACAACTGCAGAATGGTCTCCCTACTAACAAGATCTCAAACCCGAAAGTAGCAGTCAAAAATATACATATTTATTGTGAAAATGTGTTCTAATGTAGTTCTACTGATTTGTAGACATTTAAAGAATTTATTAAACATGTTTGCATGGCAGAACTTTCAATTATTTTAGATAAATATTTACTTTTCATGATATCGCTCTTTAAAATGGTACCCTACATAATGCTTGGCATTGTCTAATAACTCCAATACACTCCTGGCTGTATTGATTAAGAACATGCAAAATAAAAGTATTCAACATAGTGATGATTTAAAAATACACAATTCAAGCTTCATACATTCAATAATTATTTTTTTTTTGTTAACTTTTATAGTGTTAAAGTTTTTCTGAACAATTTTATAGCTTTGTGTAATAAGACTAAGAATATTAGGACATTTTATTTAGAATTTTTAAAAAAATTTTCTTTGAAAGTTCAGTACATTTTTTAAGTACACATTATTTTACAAAAACTGCAATAACTAAAAGATCTGCTTTTCTTAGTTTTCTCAAATAATTAGCATAATACATTTTATGAAAAGATAAGGATATAGGGACTGAGAATAAGTGAGACTTTTTAAAAAAAAATTAAATTTACCTTTTCCCAAATACTGTAATAATCAAATGTTGTAAAAGGATAAAATATCATGCATAAGATTGCTGAATAATAATTTGATTTGACTTTCTTTGATTTCAGATTGTTCCAGAAAATAAGCCTTACATTTATTTTGAGATAGTGAGGAATAAAAAAATATCTACAAAACTTTTGTGTGTCATCAACAAGCACATTCCAATACAATTTGGAAGGTAAGCTTTCTCTTTTTTAATATTTGCTTGTATAATCATTTTATGCATTTTAATATTGTAACACAATTCTTTTTATGAGTTAGTTCATTGACAGATGATATCTTTTTAAACACACACGTTTTAGTATTTTTACATAAAAAATGGCAATTTTTTTCTCAAAATAATTTAAACGGACATGTAATTTTATTGAATTTTGAAGGGATAGTATTTCCTAAGAATAAAATCAGATTTACGTTTGAAAATATTAAAGTGCAAAATCATCAATATCTTAAAATATGCTGATATATTTGCATTCCAAAACTATTTTATTATTTTAATTGGATCACATGTCTAAGTAATAAGATAAAATAATACATAAATGCATATAAAATACTAGAAATTACATTAAGCCCAGTGGTTGAGTGGTAACTGTCAGTGGGTGGATAAAATAAATAACTAGCATGCTTGGGGACTAAACACTGGAGGTTCCACGTTTGACTGACCAGACAACAGGAACATCTGCCACTGCACTACAGAGCCCAAGCTTAAGAAAACTAGGATGTGCAGAGTAGGCCTTGGGGTGTTGTGTCATTAAGTTTATTGCTACCAATGTTTGTATTTAGAAATGAATTGTTAATTCCTGATTATTCAATTTCTGTATTGTTTCTTTTAAATTCTGAACACTCAGTATGTGTCATCATAATACAACTATATTACTCAGTCGATCAAATTTAAAAAAGTCATTCAAAAACAGTGTTCCAAATAAATAATTTCATTAAATAAACAAGACTTAAGCTTTAAAACCTTATTTTATTCTTTTAGCATTGATAGCCCAGCACAAACAATAAAAATGTTGTAGTGTAATACCATTTTGTTTCCCTTATTTTAATCCAGATTTTCCCTTATTTTAATGTCAGTTTTTTAAAAAAAAAATCCTGATGTAGAAGGGCTCTTGAACAATTTTTTTTTTAAAAAAAAGAAAGAATGTATTTACACTAGACAGATCTATAGTTTTATTTTAAATGTTTAGATCATTTTTCTTTCTTTATGCATGACTCTAGGACAGTGAAGTCTTGTCAATTGCACATACCCAAAACTTGCTCTGAACTCAACCTAATATTTGTACATAAGATATATTTGTTTAAAACTCTGAAATACTTAAAAACAAAGAAAATTTATCTATCATAATTTTAATAAACTATTACTCATACATGCAATAGTAAAATGGAATTGATTACACTCACACCCCTTTAAGAAGGAAAATAAAACTGCTTTCCTAAGAGGTTTAGTGCAGTCATTGATTTTCTGAGGGGGAAATATAGAAAACATGAGAATAATTTCAAGTTAATGGATACCAAATTATATAATAATTGAAATTTGGACTTTTAAAAATTTAAATTTAGGACCTTTTCACTTTCTTAAAGATTTTAGTGTGTGTGATTGTTACTTTTCTATCACATTACTGAAACTTTATAAATGTGTATTTACTGAAATATTTGAATAATTTTACGATGCAATTATTACTTAATGAGAATTTTGAGCTAAAAGTAATTTTTCTCCAAGCTTTGTCAATAGAGTTAATAATTAAGTATTTTGCTAAAATTTTTTAAAAAAGTTGGGTAATATTTAAACCAAGAGTTTTGATTTGTTGGTGTATTAATATATGGTAAGATTTATCATAATATTGCATAATGCAATTATATGTAGGAAGACTAATGATTTTATATTGGAATTGAGCAACTTGATTTTATTGGTGTTTTTTGTTTTCATATATTACTCTCTTTTTTTTGCATTATATTGCTGCATACAATTTTTCAGAATTGTTATCATAGGAATTTTTTCACAAATTAGCTATGACTTGTTTATTTTGCAATATCTCGAAAACTTTTTAATCAAATTGAGCAATCGTTGCTCACAGTTATAAAATTCATTTATCCAAAGATAACTTCATGCAAAACTGACCTTGTATGTTTTAATGTAGTTTAAAAATATTTTTGATTTAAAATTTTTTTTTTTTTACAGAATGGTTCTAGCTAGCAAACCTATACTTGATTTACCAGACCGAATTGATTGGAAATCATGCGCTTTAACTGAAGAAGAAGAAAGAAATCTAGCAGAACAATTCAGAAAAAAATTCAAGGCATATGACTTTAGTCTATAAAAATATATTAAGTATTTTCACTTGTAAATAAACTCATTTTATTTTTAGTACAAGTAGCTCTCTTATGGCAACTGAGCCATTTTCACAGAATAAAACAAAAAGTGATCTAAGCAAATTTTTGACATTTATGCAAATGCGCACTATATGTCCGAAAATTAATTTCATAAGTTGGATACTAAAGTCACTAATATGTTTAATACAATGTTCATAGCTGTTCTGATATTTCGGATAAAATTTGTGATGTCCTGATTTAGTATTTTTAGAACTTACAGTTATCTACAAATAGACTTTAAAATAATCTATTTGAACAATCAAAAGATTTTGATTTATGATCTAACATTTTTATTTTAATCAATGGTGTTAAAAATCGTCCATATTTGAATATTCAAAACCTAAGGGCCATAGATTAATTATGTACATAGTTCAGGCACATAGTCCTATTCACAGAATTCATTGTTTCAAACTTTAAGTAGGGATTGTATGAAAAAGAAACTAAATTAACAATAATACATTATCAAGTGGTTATGAATTCAGGGATCATTATCTTTTTATTTTCTGCAAAAGCACTGTAAAATCTTGTAGGGGGAAATTTTAGTTTTTTAATTATTGATTCATTCCTTTCATATGATTTGAAAAATTATTAATTCCAAACAACAATCATAAAAATTTTTTAAATGGAGAATTGAGGGATCATCCACTAAATTACTTTAGCATAAAAGTGCTAAGCAGTATATTCATTATTTTCTTTGGGCAACTACGAAGCCTGTATAATGTCAAATTGAAAGTGATTAGTGAACAGCATGATTAAAAAGAATTGCTTAAATGATTAATTTTCTAGGTGTAGAAACTAGCAAAGTCGCACTTCTGTTAAAAATTTTGCTTTTGTCTCAGCAGATCAGAGTTATTGCAAATTGACAGTATGGTATATAAAAGGAAAAACTCTTACAAAAATTCACCATTTAAAATGGCAGAGTGCATAGTAGCATAAATTTTTGTTAAACAGTACAGAACTTCTAATCCGAAAATCAGAATGATATTCCATAAATTTTTCTGCCATATAAAAAAAAAAATTTTTTTTTCCTTGTAAGATTTTAGGATTTTTCTTTCTTTTTCAAAAGATGTTTACATTACCACCATTTTAGAAATAATCATCAGCTCCCTACACTGGCAGAAGTACTAAATATCATCAATCATTTCTTTTCAATCATGGCACAGTGAGAAAGGGTGACTCATTGAACACCTGTTTTCTTATCATCTGGCCCTTAAGCAGGGGGAGTCTGTTGATTGCTTAGTCCAGGAGAGTTAAAACAAATAATTTTGTCTTTGATTGTTAGAAATCTCTTAAAGTATTCCTTAAAATACTCCCCCGAAAAAAGCACTATCTCTTCCATACGCAGTATCCCCTTGTTCACATTAGATTCGTTTCTTTTAGAATGCTTCATTCTCCTCATTCTAGGCAAAAGGAAGAATATATTAATAAAAGAACCATTTATATTAATGACAGGACATGATTTCTTTCCCTTGCATGTAGCTTCCTCACACACATTCCTTCTAGTCTCTCTAAAATGCACTACAATCAATGCTTGGTCACAGGAGAAATTTTTGTTTTAAATATTTTTGTAAGACTGAAAAATTGTTCCTATGAACTATAGTGATGCTGAAAAATTAAGCACTTTTAAAAAACCTTGCTCCAAAATTACTTTTAAGAGTCCTTATTTTTCAAAATAAAAATTTAGCAGTTTTAAAGAACCGTAGGAACCCTGAAATAACTTTTTTAGTTGGGTTTCATAAACAATTAAAAAATGGTGATTCAGAAAACCAAAAAAATCAGTTATCCGCGGAATAGTGATGGTCCCGATCGTTCTGGATAATGGGTTCTTTCCTCCTACGTATAAAACAATTTAGGATTGATTTTTTTTAACCTTCTAGTTGGAACAAAGACATAAATGTTACAGTGAAAATAATTTGATTTTACGGAAGTAATGTCTCACCAGAATCTTGAAACTATGCATAAAAATTTTGTTTGACATCAAGATTTCATGTCAAACTTGATGCCTTTTCTTTGTCAGTACCAGGTTGATATATTACTAAGAGTAGGTTAATTTTGAGAACTTATTGTTACATGATGGTCTTGGGTCAGAGATGCTAAAAATGGCAGCTTTCCCTATTAAATAAAATTTAAGGATATCAGCCCAAGTAAGTTTTTATGATAAAACTGTCATTTTTAAAAAAATTAGCAAAATATTTTCCACCAAAAATTAACTTATTTTTGAGAATTTATTAACAATCTCATAAAAATTTTGTATTTCTACATTAAACATGTCAGTGTTTTATTTTCTAGCAGTCTTTTCATAATGTTACAAAAAGTCTATTAAATATTTGAAATGAACTTCATAACTAAGAGTAAACAAACTTTTTTTTAATAAATAATATTGTTTATTCTTAGACTTGGAAAATTTTGAAGCAGATTATTAATGGAAGAAACAAATATAATACACAACATTCATATTCTAAAACAATATTTGTAATTCCCAAATCACCTCAATAAATTTCTATATTTTTTTTATAACATATAACATAGACAAATTGACAGACATAAGCTGTATGAAAATTAGCTATACAACAAAATATTTCTATTTTAAAGCACTAATTTCAACAAGTAATTTCTTTTCAAAATATTCAATTTAACTGATATATTATAAATTAAAAAATGAATTGCTTCTATTCATTTTTTTAAAATGAATTCTGCTAAATCTACTTAAAAAAAATAATGTATATTCCCTCCCTTTTAAAAATACTAGACAGAACAAATGCACAAAACCAAATTATTATAAATAAGAACAATGCGACTTCTTGTCTCTAAAAGAAATAAAAAACAAGATTTTCTACATTTTCATATTCACATAAACATTTATCGAAAAAACTCCTTTACAACACATTAACTGTTTTACAATAGAAACAAACCATTCTTTAAAATAAAATAGTCACATATACTATTTTTTTAATCTTTAAACTACTTTGAATTCTGATAAGCACTAAGTACAGGTATTAAAATGTGATAAATGATTTCTATACTACTTAAAATTAAACCAAACGAAAACAAAAATTGCAGTTAAATTTAAGAACTATTTAAAACAAGCAATTAATTTCATACATGCAAATGTTATTTTTGACACCAATTAAAACATTTAAACTGATCAGTTCAGTCCCAATTAGCATCCAAAATTTTGATGCCTCTCCCAAAAGAAAAAAACTGCACTTCCAAAACAAATATGGTTTTATTGAGAATATTGATAATTTTACAAAATTAAAAGATAGACCTGTGAAAATCTGCATGGATCTTACACATTTAATACAATAAAAAAAAAGGTAATTTTTGTGCATTTCTTTATAAACAAATTTATCAAAACTTTTTTTTTTACTTCAAAATACCACTTTTGAGGTTTATGTTTAAGTTAAAGATTTGCAGTATTTGTGTCAGTCATCCAAGATTATTATTATTTCTTCATGCAATAGTTCTTTAGTTAATATTTTTTTTTATCTTACCCCTGATAAAGACTTCACATTATACTATTTGTTTTCCTTTGGGCGACTAGTGTAATATTGAACACTGATTGTATTTTATTGATCTTTTTAAAGGTTCTATAAGTTCAAGCACGAAATCTAATCTCCACAGAATTTTGTTTAAAATGTTATTTGAAGCAAAAGAAGCAGTTTTAGAAATTTGACCACTTGTGAGAGTGCCAAAAAATTAATCTAGCAATAACTTGCTGTGCCAACGTCAATTAAATTTATGTTAAGAAACTATTTAAAACTAAATTTTGTCTGTACTAGAAAAATAGAAATGGGTTTGAAGATAATAGAATTTATTCTCAACTACAAAATCGTGCTTACACATAGCTCCAATAAACTAAGTAAATATCTAAAAAGCCTATCAAGAATTATGTGGACTTTTTAGCCATTCATCCAAAATATAATTAAATTTGCCTCAAAATTAAAGCATTTATAACTTTACTTAAATACAAAGAAATAATAAATGTTGTAATATAGCATGTATTACCTACAGCTTACCTTTAGGTATATAATTAAGAACATGTCATAAATTATATCTGAATTTAACCTGTAATTTGAAAAAATCACGCTACACAAATTTGGTGTCTAATTGCATAATTAAAAGCTTTTAATTTAGAGTTCTTATTAATTGGTGAGTCAATAATTCACCCTCAAATTTACTGCATTCTATTGTTATAGTTTTTGTAGCTGTATGCAAAGGTGAAGAATTTTTATGTACAGAAATTCAAACTAATATGCTTTACTTCAAATGAAGAAACCAGTGATCCAAAATTAGAAGGCAAAAAATTTTATAAATTATTTCATCATAAAATAAAAGATTTTTATATGTCTTTTATGGTTATGTTTAGCCACATTTGAATTTAGTCAAATAAATATAACATTAATATACTTTTAAATATTAATATTTAGTTATTTAATACATAAAGGATTTTTGTACTTATAGTTACAATTAGATGTACTTTGTCAAACAATCAACTGACTAATAAAAATATTTTTTTCAAAATTTAAGTTTCATAGAAAAACACGTTTTTATTTTTATTTTCCAGAAACAAACTTTAGTGGAATAAGTTTTTTTTAATCACTCATTCATTTATGTTGCAACCAAAAAGGAAACGGAGTGAATTCTCCTAGAGGTCATGTTTTGTCTATTTTGGTATTTCTAGTTTACACTTGCTCCTTTTCTTGGGGAATATCATTTAATATGTGACTACACAGACTATTTTAATCTTAATTTTTTAAGAAAACAATTACTAGAGTTCTCTTAGAGATTATATGGAAGAAAAACTGACAAGTGCCAACGAGACATACAAGGTTTGCTGCAGGAAAATGTCATGAAAGGCTCTCTACTACTTTTACCTTCACTCCTTATTTATTGTGATAGTTGAAATCCATTTCATGGCAAAATTATAACTATTATTGCTTATGTAATTATTTGTTTTAACATAATTTAATAATTTTAAACCTAAATTTATTTTTTTCCCGAGGGAAAAAATTAACTATTTTAATTTGATCAAAATGAGATGATTGATGTTGATTGAACTTAAGTGAAAATCTGTAATTAGAATCCATTTTTATTGATTCAACAAAAAATAATTAGCAGTGGTTAGAGTTAGGGAAACATTGCAATCTCACATGTCTTAAGAATAATATTAAGAAACATTTTGTGGGAACAATTCATTGAAAAGCAAAGAATACTTTTTTTTATCTACTCTATTAATGCAATGAGTAAAGTAATTATAAGTTTAAATTTACATAATAAATTTAAACTTATAATTACTAGTCTTGCTCATTGCATTATTTTTGCAGAAGTGATAGATGCATATATCTTTCTAGTAGTATTAGTGCTTATTTATGTTATGCAATAAAAACTAAATACTGAAACAGATATCACTGGGCAATATAACAAGTTTGTAGAAAACAAGGTGAAAAATCTTTTGTTATCTTGACACATGAATTTTAAATGCTATGTGTTTCTTGCCTAAAGGATCTAGGCATATTTACTCACATTTACATTACGTCTAAAAATAACAACATATAGAAATTGCTCTTTGGTGAAAATCTTATGTTAAAAATTATTGCCAATGAATGAAGAAATAAGAAGTAAAATGAAGAAATTGAAAAATTTCTTAAATGCTCAACAAATACAAAACATTTCTAAGAAAATTTAAATTTGAAATACACATTTTTCATTCATTTTTTTTGCAATCATCTATGTTTGATTAAAGCTCTCCCTGGCTTTTTTTTTCACATTTGTGCTATTTTGATGAATTTGTCAATCACATTTTGATTGAACCTCAATGCCTCCCTTCTAAGGTTAGGATGGTTATTTCTTGTTAACCTTGAATTAATTTATTTATTTTGGTTAAATAAAGGTGGTTTAATGCCTTCAAATTGAAATTTGCAACCAATGGCACATTTACCAGGGAATTTTATTATGATGATAAAACCCTGCTTTGTTTAGATGCTTGTAGAAAGGTGATACATTGAAAGGACTTTCAAAATAGAAATAACATCCACATAAAAACTGCTGACTAACATATAATTTTCAAACAAAAGCAATAAAACTTAAGAGTTTGCTTCATTGCAAAGATTATAGTTAATATGCAATTGTTCTTAAAATAGGTTTCACAAAGGTTGTATTTTTTAAAAAACTATTAAAACCATATACATACAACAAATCAGAATATTCTTCAGTTAAAAAATATTACAGATTAGCCAAATAAAAATGTTTTCCCTCAGATACACCACATATTACACCGAAGAAAGTTTCATTGCTAGAATTAGTATTAAAGGTTCTATTAGTCAACAATTTGTAACAAAAATGAGTTACATACAACTGTACCAACAATTAGTGACTCAGTACTCTGTCATATTAAAGAACTTCACAAGTATTAAACGTATAATGTACCTGGTAGTCATTTTTATGCAATCAGTATAGGTGAGTTCCACACATTAGCATTAATAAATAAAGACCTCAAAAATAAGGCAAAAAAATTATTCCTTTTGAAAGCCTTACAAAAGTACACAAAAACTGAGCAGTTTCTAAAAGTTTACAAACTTTATAAAAATGGAACTGTTTTAATTTCTATCGCACTGAGGGTCTACCACCAATAATTCACCTAAAATATTTTAACTTGTAGTTTAACTGAACCCTCATCAGTTTGTGATAGAATCAATATTTTTATTTTTTAGAAGAATATGAAAATAAAAATCCTAGCAATAAGGTGATATATTTTAATAACAGGGAGTTAAATGCAATTTTTTTTTGCTATTTGTTAAGTGTTGTGGAAATCAGAAAATTTACTAGAAAACAACAAAATTTAACCAGGAATGCAAAATTTGAAGGAAATCCTTATTACAAATTTTACATTAAAGGCTTGAATAAAAAGTAGTCACAAATAAAGGCTTTTGCACAGTCTTTTTAATGAGACTTTAAAATTGCATTTTTCAAGAGCTTGGACAAATGCCTACAGAGTAACTCACGTAAGGAACACAAAAAATAAATATATTTATTTGAATATGAGTAATAAATACGTTTGTCAAATATCATAAGACAACTTAACCAATATATTAATATACATACACTTAAATAAATCTACAGTACAGTTGGATACTGAAAAAATATTCTGATGAATATAATAGTCTACTGAGTAAAGATCTTTTCTTAAGAGAAAATAATTTATCAGAGTGAATAATGAAAATATATTACCTGCCTATCACAAATTTACAATTTGGGATGTTAAAATACAATACCAGTTACAGATCAAATGTTAATACAAGTAAATCTGATTAATTTAATGAAAATATGTACAGGCTTCATTATAAAAAGGCTAATCTATTTTGTGCCCTAACTACTTCCAACATTGAAAGACTTCAAAAATGTGAATAAAACAATGAAATTTTTTTTTTATTTAGAATATTGCAAGATGTGAAAATAAATATACATTATATAATAAAAAGGCATGTATTAATAAATAACAATCATTTCAACTTATACAGAGAAAAAGCAATAAAAAACAACATATATTTTGTTTTTGAACACAATACTGAGTATATATTGCCTTAAGATGTTTAAAGTATGTTATATAGTCAGTGTTCCAAAGGCTTTTAGCAGGCTATTTTAATCAGAGAAAAATAAGTGCTGTTTCATTATTTTGCCTCTTTACACCATACTTGAAAACCCAACTATCACATAAACCTAAAAAAAAAATAATAATAAAATGCACCAAACGCTCAATTTAAAATTATCAAAAGACAAATTGTCATGTTAAGAATTCATTAAGATTAATTTAAAAGACAAAAAAGATGGGGAAAAAAAGAAAGATCTGACCATAAGGGTGGGAAAAGCAAAGAAGGGATTAAAATTATCACAAACTAGATCAGCTGTCTTGAGTAATTGTTTTTATCCAACTTTCATTAGGAACTGCCTTTAAGCTCCATTCTATAATAAACTGATTTCAGATCATTTTTAGCTCTTTTTATTCATTATTGACATTAATGGTGAATGGTCGGAAATTGAAAATGTTCTATTTCTTTTTAACTAAAATATTAATTTGCAATCCATAACAAGCAGTATTTTGGCTTTATTTTTAACAAGCATTCTAAAAATATATATTAGACTCTTATGGAACATTCAGTGTATTTGTAATAAATATTAATTTATTTTCATCAACAAAAAGTTTTTCTAACATGGATTCCTTACCTTAAACAGACTAACTTTTGTTTTATATTACAGTACAACACAAAGAAGCTCAAATAATCGAAATTTTTGAAAGCTTATATAAAAACTTTTTTTTAATTTCAATTTTTATAAAAAATAAACATTTTATGTGTAAAAAAAAGCTGAACTTCTGAAAGCTGAAGCATATAAAAATCCTCATAGAATATGCAGGCATGTCATTTGTTTAAAATCATTTTGATATATCCTTTCCCAACTACCCAATATTCACCTGATGGTATTATTTTAATTTCAAACACACAGATATGAAAAGGGGTAAAAAATTTAAATAAGAATTAGACAATTACTTACATTTAAAAATGATTATATATGCTCTCATGTATTAGGTGGTAAGTGACATGTAGCAGAGGCTTGATTAAAATGTGGAACTGCTAACAGATCTTCTGATTGACCATTGTTCATATTATGATTCAATATTTTAACAGCCGAGAACTTTGCTCTCTGGTAACCATTTAGAACATTGAAACCTAATAATCTGAAATAGATATACACAAGTTACATTCATACATTAATGTGAAATAATATCAGTGGTATTTAACAAAGGAAAACAACATTGATTCCCCTATTACTTGACAAGATTAAAAAATAAAAATGTTGAAATGATTTAAAGTACAGTAAGGAACCATTTATCCGGTATCCAGATAACCGGCAAACCAGAAAACCGGGAAAAATTTTGATCGGTTTTCCCGCCATTTTAAACTAGAACGATTATGAAAAAAAGCGGAAATTGAACTCATCCTTGAAGTTGAGTAGAGGAAAATGTAAGGAAGGGGAGAATTTTCCCCCCCGTTTACCCAGAGAAACGTCATTTCCTCCGCGACCTTGAAGGCAGGGAAGGGAGGAATGTTTTATTTTCTCCTTTAGGCCGTCAATCAAGCTCAAGGGTGTGGCATGCTGATTTCGTTTTCTGTTTGATTTACGAGGGGTGTGTGGAAAATGCATTGCATGCATATCAGTGAACAGAAGATGAAAGAGAAAAATATATTTATCTATTTGACATCAATTAATAAAAATAAAATCTTTTTCTACTGAATAAATTCTCATTCTTTGGAAGTGCGGTATCATTTGCAAGTTTTTATTGATGTGGAATCACATCTGCTGTAATTGAATATAGTGTTTTTATCGACAAAAAAATAAAAATAAAAGGAGAATTGTTTATTAATTTAAACATAGGATTATTTTATGAAGCAGATTGCAGTTTTGTTTTTCTGATTTCACTACGTTTGATTTTTTTTCTTTTCACGATAAATTTCGCACTCAATAAATTAATTCTTTTTATTCATAAATTTTATCATTAGGTTTTTTTTTAAAATTCCGTTGATCTTGCCCTGTTCCGGGTTTTAATATTTATGCTAGTGCCTATTTTAACTATCGTTTCGGTTCGATAATTTTCAAGTGTTTTTATTTAGATTAATAAGTTTTCCTTTTATTTTATCGTTTTCCCCGTATAATTAGGTATGAAATATATTGCGTTATTTAACCATTGGTTTTGTTTATATTAGTTAATCTAGGAATTGTAATTATTTTTAAAAAATAAATACGAGAATTTTGTATTTTTTTAACTCGTTTTTCTTGTCTAAACTTGCAAATTTTTTTATTCTTTTTAAAGTTAGGAGTACCTTTTTTTTCTCTTACTTTATGCATTACACTTTTTCCTTGTAATTCGGATTCGATAAAACATGGATTAATGACACGTTTTGGTCGATCCAGAAAACCGGGAAATTCAGACATCCGGGATAGCGATGGTCCCGAGCATCCCGGATAATTGGTTCTCTACTGTAATAGAAATTAGATAAATAGCAAACAAATATTAAAATTACCGTAATTTCACGGAGATAGGTCGCGGCGCTATTGATTTAAAAACTTGAAAATTTAGTAGGAAGGCGTATCTAACGGGGCGGCCTATATAGTATAACTTTTTTTTTTCCTTCAAAAAATTTTGCTTTTTAGAAACCGCACTGGAAATTTCATCTTCCTTTTTTCCACTTGTTATTGTACTTTTTATTTATTTTTTCATGCTTAATGTCACTCCAAGGAATGGTCAGCGCACCTGGAATTTTCCCCTCCCTAATCCTTTCTTGGAATCATATTCTGGAGACCACTATCCACAAGAGAACAAAGTCTCTCTTTCCCTTCTGCCATATGGACAGCTGTTGAGTGTAGGAAATGGGCGTGGAGTGGAGAAGCATAAATCAGAAAGGAATGAATGAAGAAAATCAGGGTGGGGCTGTGATAATGTAACTGTAAAACAAACACTCCCCTCCCCGTTCTTTCCACGAAATATGACTCTTCCACTTGTCATGGATGCCTCTCTCCACTCCCCTTTTTTCTTCAGCAGGTTGTTAAAAACATGTGAATGTTTGGTAAATAAAGCATACTGATGAGCTTGGAATGACCTTCAATAATCTCACAATTAGAATGTTCAAAAAGAATTTCAAACTTTCCACTGAAGGTCAGTGCAGAAGGAAAAAAGCAAAGTGTGTGAGAATTTTAGACAGGGATAAAAGAAAGAACGTCCTAGGCAGAGTCAGTTGAAAAAAGAAACCTGATTTGAGAAGCGAAAATAGGGGGAGGAATTGGTAAAAATAGAAACTTGTTTTAAATGCTTGGGAGAGAGCTTTTGATTTTTTTTTTTTTTTGCATTGCTCATATTTCTGTCTGATTTCGATCATCTTCCTCAGCTTATTATTATTACGTTTTTTTTATAGTTTTATCTTCAGTTCTGATGCGTTTTTGTTTTATTAATATTTTTCTTTCGTTAATATTTTTGTTTCGTTTATACTATTTTCGTTTTGTTTTAACATAACTTGTATTTAAGTTATCCATTTTAAATGCCTCCCATTAAGAGGAAAAATTATACCGTTGCGTTTAAGCTGTCAGCAATTAAAAGAGTAAAAGAAACTGTGATAAATGGCTTAAAAAAAGCGGAAATCATCCCGGGACAAACGAAACCGAAAGTGACGGAGATTAACCCGAAATAAACAATTAAATAATAAACCTAATTTGCTCTGATACAGAGAGTTCTGATTTTGAGGAATTTTTAAGTGCAGTGATATGAATATATATGTGATATCTAAATAAATTATTCTTAAGTTTTTCTTTGAACAAAATTTGTTTGGATTTATCGTTTATTTCTAATACAGGATTTTGGATTGTTAATTTAAAAGTAAAATCGTTTTATTCTTAAAAAATTTCATACTTATTTTAATGGTTTATGATATATTAATTATTTTATTTATTTTTTAATGGTTACTTCACTTTAAAATTAGAAAATGCTTAATTTTACTTAGAAAATTATTAAAATCTATTTTATATACTAGGATTGTTTCTATATTTTTTTAATATTTAATATCCTTTTATTTATTTTTATTTAACTATTTAAATTATATACATATGCATATTTAGAACATGTGTTAAGTCTTTAATCAATACGTCTTTAATTAAGTTCAAAATTCTTTAATTGTTAAAAATTCGGCGCGGCGTGTCCGATGAAAAGCTTTTCTCTGTCAGTCGATTTTTGAGGGAGCGGCGTATATACCAGGGCGGCGTTTCTCGGCGAAATTACGGTAAGTAAGAAATTTAATACAAAGATTAAAATTTTACTTGTTAGTCCAATTAAACAATGAATCTTATAATAAAATAAAACAATGTATGGTTCGTTTCAATGCATGATGTTTTTTTCTTAGATTTTAAAAGCACCTAGTACATTTAATAAATACATTATGCAATGTCAAGATTATGTAATCCAACAAAGGTATTCGAATTTATGAGATTACTAGGTAATCTTGCAATTTCATGAAGAGATTTCATTTACAGTTTGAAGCAGTTGGAATCTTGGAAAAAAACTTCAGGTTTGCAATTGTTTCATAAATGGCAAGTACCCAAAAAGGAGCATAGATACAAAAAAATATCACCACAATGTAGAAACAAGTAACAGATTTTATTAAAAGAAATTTGTGAAAATTTTGAATGAATCTTATTTAAATACTTTCTTTTTACCAATTCAAATTTAAATAAGAATGGGAAGAAAAAAAAAAAGAATTATTCATGTATTTGAATGAAACAAAATTTATTATATTTAAAAAAATGTTCTAGTTTAACAGCTCACTTTTAATAGAGAAGGGGATAAGATTCTGTAATCTCCCAAAAATTACTTTTTTGTTGTTGTATTTTTTGAAAGCTTCATGCATGTAATTAAAAAGGTCAATGGAAATGTAATATGGTCAAATAAAGAAATGACATTTTAACTATTCATATTTTGTTTTAATAAACAAAAAATTGTCAATAGGCTACATTTTCAAATCATATAATGTAATTCAAAAGCAAACATTTGATCTTCGTTTAAAAGTATATTGTGAAGTACGATCAAAAATTCCAAAACATATGATAATAATGAGTAGAAAACTTATTCAGTAACTACAGTTGAAATAACTTATAACAAGCGTGAAGGGACTGCAAAATGTGCTTGTTATAACCAAATGCTCGCAAAAAAATAGGCTGGTTAAAAATCATTTAAGTTCATACATACTTACAAATAGTGCTTAATATAGTACTTACATTTTTTTATTTTTTACTATGCAGTTCAAAAGTTAGTTAATCTGTATTGAACTTTCGTATTGTGTCTGCTGAGTTATTGTTTTTTGGATAAGATTCATGACCTGATAAACTTCATTTGCACCCCTGCTATTGAAGAAAGTTTGACATGTTTCTGCACACTCAAAAACCATTGAGTACATTGGAGACGAATTAGCTTAAAATTCTTCATATCTGTTGATATAATTATTTCTTTCATAATTTTTATACCTGCTTTAGCTTGAATTTCAACTACAATATCTTCAGGAATATCTTGGTAGTGATAACATTTGTGTTGACGGATATAACTTTCAAATTTTTCGCTACTTATTTTCAAATTTTTGAAATAAGTAATTTTTTCTCAGTCACAAAATATTGCTCACTTAAACAGGGGTCAGCTTGTTAAAAGTAAGTCAGGCTCATTGTACCAACTAAGTATTTTTGATTTCTTTATTAAATCTTGTTAATTCAGGGCTTATTATTAACTGGTTTGACTCTATAGTTTTGTTAAATTTAAATACCAAGACTATGTTTAGATAAAAATATAAAATGGGTAATGTTATGCAATTCAAGGACTTTTCATGAATGTTATTTGTATTTTTGTTATTTTTATGAAAGAAAAAATAGATATTTACCTTAAACAAATGTAAACAACAAGAATAGCAGAACCTCCAGATAATGTGCGAATTCCAACATTTTCAAACATTTTTATAAAAAAGCATGCTCCTGCAACAGAACTGCACATAACTGTAACAATCCCTCCAGTTTTTGCCCAGTGATAGGGAGTCAAGCCTCTTGGAAGCCAAATTGTGCTTTGTTGTAATTCATACTAAAAAGAAAACATGAATTGGTAATTTTAAAAGACAATATACTTCTCCAGTTCAAACAAAATGAGTCAAGTCCTGTCGTTTCTAGTACAACACATTAAATCAAATGAATTTTTAAAGCCAATATTGAATGGTACGATGTAATTTTGTTAGGAAAAAATTATTTCTGTTTATAAGTTTCAAATAAAATAACTCATAATATAGGAAAGTATTGTCATTATTTTTCATAAGGTCAAGCAATAATTGAACTTAGTCTACTCTACTATGCAATATACCATTAATTCTCTTATATTTCATAAAACTCTTTATTTTATTTTAATCAAAATATTTTTTTAAAATTTTACTTAAAAAATTCACATCAATCAAATATCTTTCCCCATTTCATGTCTTCGAATTAAAATATACAAAATAACCATTTAAAAACAACAGTGCTAAATGTTTGATATTAGAACTAGACATTACCAAAGCAATAATTGCTTTATTATGTTTTTTCATTAGAAACATTCTAAAATTCTTCTCACTAGTACCAGATTCAAGAGTTTTAAGACTTATCTAGGCACTGCTAGTTTTTTTTTTTAGTCCTTTTATTTTTGTAGAGTCTGATGAAGTCATCATGAAAGCAAATTTCATATTTTCTTGAAGCTCTTTTCATGCATCAAGATTCTTATCTCTTGCAAATTCTTGACAATTTACAACAAGTTTTAATTTTTATATCTCCACATTTAAGCTTTATCTTTTTATTTTTGTTTTTCAGGTTTTCTTTGGTTGCCTTTTTTTTCCCAACAGGCCTCCAAAGTTTTTCTTTTAAATAGTATGCACATGACTTAATGCAACACTTAATTTTAAAATGTTTGCTGTTAGTTTGTTTTGCTGCTAAATGTACAGCTAAGCAACTTCATATAAAAGTTATTTTGGGGATGATCCCTCCATTAACAGCGTAAAAATTGAATGATTATTGAATCAATACTTGGGTTTATATTGCATATGTGTAGAATAATAATAAATTTTAATTACTGTCCTTTTAAGAATTAGAGAAGAATTTCAATTCTGCAAGATTTGTTTTCAATCTGCAGGAATCGAAAATGGAATAACGCCTTAATTCAAAATTTTATAATTTTGCAACAGCATACATTTTTTTCCTTCAAAAAATGACAAAGCAAAAAATCGGAAACAAATTCAGTAAAGAGGCCTGAAACAATTTTCCAACTAGTGGATGGTCCCTAAATTTAAAGAAATGAACTCAAATGATTTTGAAATAGCTAATTAATTCATATTACCATTAAGTTATAATTAAGTATGTTGAAAATTTCAATATGATGAAGTTCTTTGTTGAGTAGCTTTGGCAGCTTAGCGAATAATCCATTGAATTAAGGATTATTCCCTCAATTATCATTTTATAAGTTTGAGAAAATAAAAGTAGAATTTTTTTTTTTTTAAAGAAAATGACCCACCAAAAGTTCTGAAATAATGAATCCAATAAAGATGACAAACAATTTTTTTATAATTTGTGAATGGTCCATCAATTCAATAGATGGAGTATATGAGATTTCAAATTATCTAAATCATGCTATTTTTAAATAATGAGATAACAATTTCAAAGCAACAAAGTTTCACGTTATATGAACTTCAGAATATTAGAAGGAAATTTATGTTAGTGATTAACATTTATATTAGTGATAATTAGAGTTCAATTAGAGAACAACTTTTTTTCCTTCCAATTTTAAATACTGATTATTTTTTTAAGGAGATAGCACTATAAAATTCTTACTTCTGGTAAAGTAAATAAAAACAATAAATAAATCCAGAAGATGATTTTAAAAGACAAAAAAGTAGAAAATTGGAAAAAAAGATACGGTAACAAAATAATGGGAAGAATGACAAGACTGCAGTCTTTGTATACCCCTTTAATTTTTTATATGACTAGAGTACATTAATATTATAAAAAATTCATATTGTTAATTAATATCCAGATTTTTTAGAACAAAATTATCATGAAACACAAATTTTGAAATGCACCAATTACAGTGTAAATTCACAATATTTTTCAGCACTTATTTTTATGGCTTTCTACAGGGTCTTTATATTCTTATTTTCAATACAATATAATTGCAATATACAAACTTTGAAATAAAGAGTAATCAGCCATTGTAAGTTTTGTTAATTGCTTTTTCAGATTTTCAAATGGTTTTTTAAGTTACAATTTCTTAATGCAATAATGTAATGATACAACTTTGAACAGCACATATGAATTGATGAAGCAGGATGGAAAAAAAATTTTAATTTTGGATTTTCAAGAAGCAGTAGACGCGAGTTTCAGCCCAAATTAGCCAAAAATGAGACATAAATAGGTGAAGCTGCTGCAAAATACGAAAAAGTTGGTAACTGTACAAATTAAAAAATAGTTGATGATGTATTTCTACTGACGTTAACAATGAAATTTTTTTTTATTACACTAAATAGTAAGTAGAAAAGAGGTTTCTTAACTCGAATTATTTTTGAAAGGAATTATGGCAACAAAACTTTTTTAAATAATTAAAGCTTGAGAGCATTTTCTGAAACTAACGAAAAATAATAATTAGCACATTAAAATAACATATTTATGCCTATTTCAATAATGCAAGAAATTATGACTTACAGGCTCATTACAGACTTTACATTTGGTAGCATCCGGTTGACCAGAAGACTGAAAACAAAAAACAACTATGCTTAATATGGTTAAAAACAAAACTATTAGAATATAGTGATGACCCTAGAAGACCAATTCAAAGATATGTTAAAAATATGTATATGATAATAATATGCATATGATAATAATATACGAATATAATAAAAGATGTATATAATAAAAATATGTACCTGAACACATTTAGCTTGGGAATAACTGCAATTAAAGTAGACAAAATATATCTTTATTTTATTATCCTATGATGAGAAAATTAACTTTCATACAGAAGAAGATCTTTATACAGTAAACCTTGAAAATGTCAGATTTTACATTACACAGAAGTCTGTGTTACATATATCACCCCACATAGCATTACGCTTAGCCATTGAACATCAATATGTATATTTTGGAACAGATCATAGCCTTGACATTTTAAAATACAGTACAGAACCCGTTATCCGGAAATCGAAAAACCGGAAAACCAAAAAACCGGAACGAAATTCGATAAATTTTCCTGCCATTTTTTAAAAAAAAAATTTTTTTTTCCTCATAAGATTTTAGGATTTTTCCTTCTTTTTTGAAAGATGTTTACCTTACCATCATTTTGGAAATAATCATTAGTGTATTACTCCATCGTTTTTTCTTCTTTTTCAGATTATTTCCAAAAAAAAAAAATTTTTTTTTAGTTGGGTTTAACAATAAAAAAAACGGCTTTTTGTAGCGATTCAGAAAACCGGAAAAATCAGTTATCCGGAATACCGATGGTCCCGATCGTTCCGGATAATCGGTTCCCTACTGTAATTTGTAGGCACTGACAAACATCAAATAGCTACTTAACATTATCTTACATTTCAAAAACTGGATAATTTCTTTCTATAAACATGTAATTAACTGCTGCTTTGTAAGCATTAAATTTATACATCCTAAACATCAGATTTCTCTTAAATATGTCATTTTGTAATTGATCTATTATCTGAAATGTTTTATCAATCATACATTATCGATTTCAAAACTTTAGAAAAGAGTTAGTTGGCATTAAAATATAAGTAATAAATAAATAAAATAAAAAAAATTTAAATTTTTTTTCTGCGCATTTTAATAAATGTGCAGATTTTAGAAAATGGAACTGAATATCAACAGAAACTTCCTACAGTGATAAATTTGCAATCCTAATTATAGACAATCACAGGGATAATCATAGCTAGATACTTACTTCTACTAGCCATTGTTTTAGACAGTCATGATGAACAATTGAAACATCTCCTCTACACTTACAAGGTTGAATTAAGGGCCCACAATCTGGTCGGTCAGGATCATAGCAAATCCAGCATTCTGGTATTTTTTCTAATGATCTGCATACGTCTGTATAAAAAAATTCATTTTAAATAAAAACAGAACATAAAATAATAATATTTTTTTTTTTAACAATTGTTAGATAAATAGCTGAGAACTTTTGTACTTTTTGTGAAATATTATCCTCTGGGTAGTGAAATATTGATTTATTAAATTTTTACAGAAAAATATTTAATTTTGGCAGCACATAAAAGTATCATCACATGTTTTTTTTTGCCTTAACATATATATCAATGTAGTGGTTCAGGGGAAAGAGCAATTGCCTTTCAAAGAAGGCATTCAGGTTCAAATACCAGTGTTGGCTGGTTGATATGAATTCTGCTCCTGGCTTGCACTGACATCAGTGCTCAATTTAAATATCCTCAGTGGTAGATAGATTATGGGTTAGAATCAGCCATCAGGTTAACCATGGGTGATTTTACTCTCCATACAAATGCAAGTTAGTTCCATCAAAAAGTCTTCTAATATGGCTAGCTTTTTTCAATGTGTGATCTAGGAGTTTTCAAGTCTTCTGGATTAGGTAAAAAATTACAAGGTTACAGAATTGAATATTGAAAGTCGTAAACACAAAAACAGTTCAGTTGATCATTGCCAATTATAAAATAAAATCCCATCCAAAAAATCTGGAAAATATTCTCATATATCTGGCAACTATGTAGATAAGTTTGATTGTCATGCTGTGTGGCCTGTAGGAAGACTTCATTTCCCCCAAGCCACACATGATAATTTTGCCAACACAATGGATTTATTCAAAACCAGATTTTTGCAGAAAATGTTCCAAAATTATGAACTTTTTTTGCAATGTTTGCTCAGAAAACATTTTTTTTCTTTCTTATTTATTTTTTCAAACTAAAATATGGGGTGATAAAAGAAATATTTGATTGACGAAAAACCGTATGACATCTACAAATGGAGTTACAAATTCAGATTTGTAACTTAAGAATAAACGAGTACTCTATAATTTTTTCTCTTCTCATCTATACTTTCCTTATAAATATTTTATTTTCAAATTGTCACAAAACCAGAAAAGAAATTTTTTTTATTCGATGCATCGATCGATTAGTCGAAAGTCTTTCTTATTTATTTTTCAACACCGATTAAAAATTTCTGCCCCTTTTGCTAACCAATGAATACAATATATAAGAAATAAAAAAAAACACTTCTGCATTAATTAAACATATCTAAAAAAAAAAAGAAATCATAGGGGTACGTAAGTCGACACCGATCTGCCGATTAACTGACGTAAAAACTGTCAGAGGAAAGCCAAAAAAAAATTTTAATTTCAAAGTAAGAAAAAAAGTGAGGTTATGCAAAATAAATTCCTCAACTAAGTTTGCAGAAAATGCCAAAAATAAAATGGAGCAAGATTTCGAACTATTAATATATTTAAATCTGGAAATTAGCTTTAGTCTCAGAAATTAAATTCATTCATTCGTCATCGAAAATTTATAATTTATTATTTTTTCTGTTGAAGGTATGTTTTTTTTAATATTTTGCATCATCTTTTTTTGAATCAATTTCTGTAAAGTTTTTTTCTGTTGCGTTTATTTTACCATTTCCTACATCATGTAAAAAAACTGTTCGAATATTTTAATATTTTTTATTATCTGTACACTTAATTATCACTGATATCTATGTTTCATAATAAATAATTTAAACGTAAGATTTGGGATGGAAGATTTTGTCCTATCAAAAATGTTTCTTTTTTAAATTAAGTGCAATTATAGTTTCTTTCTTCAAAGAGTTCTTTTACGAATTAGTTCTTAAAACTATTTTGTTTTATATTTAACTGTTTTGGTTTGAAAGGATTATAACTTTTTAATGATAAACAAAAAGAACTTTATTTTTAAAATAAAAATAGAATATCTTTCTTTAGAGTTCCGATCTTTTAATTATGAGGAAACCTGTTCTTTTCAGATTTCAGCATTACGCTCTTTTTATGTAGCTAGAACAAACCCAGCTAAGAGAACAGTTTTGTAAGAAATCAAATTTTTTTAAATAAAATGAAAAACAAACAAAAATTTAAATGTTGCCTGTTGCATTGCCTGTCTACATTTAGTGATCAAATGAACAATTTATTAGTTTTAAATTTTTGTTTTGTTCTGCTGACATTCCTGACACTTCCACGCACAAGTTATTGTGCCAGTGGTAGCAGAATGTTGAGGGGAGAAAGGAGTGAACATTTTATAACCCCCTTCTGAATTTGAAACCTTTCTAAGTCAGAGGAGGAGAGGGAATTTTCTCTTTCTTAGTTTTACTCACACTAAATTTATGTTGTGTTGTTCATGTCATAAATATTTTTGACATCACAGATCATCTTTCACAAGTTTCAACCCCTCCTATGACAGCTGTAATCATTTATCTTCTTTTTAGCCATTCATTCTCTTTACTGAAGGTTGAAGGTCACAGAAGAATTTCATTTTATAGGTTGTGGTTACATTCCCCCATTACTATTGTAACTAGTGAATGAAATAGTCGTTCTTCTTGGTTGCAACTGGAATAAGGTGACCTCGCGTGTATAGAGGGGGACGGCATGTATTTCAACATATTGCACTGCTATCTTCAAATTCGTCAGCTCATCTCAATTACTAGTTCTACAGAATTCCATTAATACATATTCTTCCTTTATCTTACTGTGACATGGGAGATAATTCCTTTCTGATTGTTTCATGCTTGATGTCTGATGACAAAGGTGAAGTGGAAATGAATTTGATGGTTTGTTTTGTTTCGAAAGTGAAGAGCCCGATTTTGATTAAATATAAGATTGGAAATATTTGAAAATAAATAAAAAGTTGGTGATTTATTTAAATTTTCTGATAAGTTTATTTTTATTGTGCACACATTCTCAAATTATTATTATGATTGGTTATAAATGTTTTTTCAGTAAGTATCATTCTCAATTATTTCTTTTTATAATAAGTGTATATAAAAAAAGATTTATAAACTAATAACTATTTTCTAATTATAGATTTTATGTTTTAAAGATTACTATTTCACAAGTGTATTTTCAAGAATGTGATAATTGCTAAAAATCGATGTGGCTACTGATGCGGCGTCCACTATTCCACATTTCTAAAGATATTACCTTCCTTCCCTTAACAGTGAATAACTTTTATTTATTTTCAAACGTAAGTACAAAATAAACAGGGCATTAAAGTATCGATATTAATTGTAATTTATTTTAAATTTTGTCTAAAGATTTTTAAACTAGAATATTATTTGGTCTCACATCCTTTTACTAGTACACACTGTAACTTTTACCAATTGCCCTTGATCATAATCAGAACATGATTAGAAAAATGAATAATGTTCAGTTATTAGCAAACGTTTCAAACCAAGGCATAAATAGCACTGAGTTGGTTTCCTTACTTAAGAATATTTCAATTTAAAATATATAACACTTACCAGACTTTACAATAGATATCTCTTTAGTGCAGGACACTAATGCTTCAGCCTCACCTCCAGAATGGATAGGCTTTTTTATTTCTAGTTTTCTCAAAAGCCTTTGAGGATTCAAAATCCACAACTGTTCAGGCCTATACAATATATTTTAAAGATAAGTGGTAGTAGTAATGGTAGAAATTTTATTAAAAAAAAACAAACATTTGAGTTGACTGATACAGATTGAATATATTTTTCAGTCAAAACTATAAAAATAGATTAGGAAAGTAAAAGCAGATAACTTAACATAGATATTCAAGTATATGACTCAAAACTATACAGTAAAGCATTGACAATCCAGCATCAACAGCACTTACGAGCTGCCGATTTAAAACATTTCCAGATTATGGATAAAATGTGAAAAGGTAAAAGTAAAAAATTATTATTGGCAATAAATAATGTAGTTCAGTGTTTTCAGGTAGAAAGGTTGCACTGTTGTACATACTGCATCAGCAAAAAATATTTTTAAAATTTCCGATCATCACAATAGCTTCACCGACATACACGTCACAGCTCTAATTTTAGCTATCAGTATAAGGTAAAATAAGGAATTTTAAGCATAAAAAGAGAAAAAAAATTGGCAGTGTCGTAAAACAAACACAAACTCAAAAAAACATAACACAAGAGAATTTTTTCCCTCCTTTTTCTTGACTAATGTGCTTTACCCTTCACCCACCCATTCACTCTCGAGAACTCTCTCTTGACAGAAAGAGGAAATCAAAACACTGCACATCGATCCTGTGATGCTGAATATCTTATCAATAAGAAAGGCAAGAATTTTTTCTCCTCTTTCTCTCTTCTCAACCAACGTACTTTTCTCCCAAGAACCATCTATCAATAGGGGGAAGGAATCAAAACACCACACACCAAAGATGTTGATGATCTCATCAATAAGAATGGCTAGAATTTCCCCCTTCTCTTTAATGTCTAAATTTGCAGCCTTCGAATGTGAAGAGTGACACCACTATTCACCAAAGTCTATTTGATAGCCTTGCCCAATAGTAAAACCTAATCTTCAACTCGCAGCCATCAATTTAAGTTTTGGACCCTCCTCCAAAAGGTGATGTGGTCCATCAATAGTCATGAGAACATGACCAATGGCTTTTGTTTATTGTTTAATCAATTTCTCTGCTAGGGATGGATTACGCTGCAGATAATCCGTGGATGTGTAATATACAATATGCTTTTCCCTTGTAAGCCAGAAACTACAGTTTTGGATTGTCTGCCATCGCGGAAAATCTGTAGGAACATATGGTGCATTTGTTAGAAAAAACTTGTTGCTTAAGCATCTTAAACAGAAAATAAAAGATTTAGCAAAGTAATAACAACATGGTTTTCGGCAGTAAATTTAGCTTCTTTGTTTACTGGATTTTAATGTCTGCTGTTATCTGAGTGACTAACATGAGGGTAAATTTAGACATTAATATTTCTTGTTAGTGACAATTCATGTATACTAAAGTACATTATCTGAAGTTTTAATTGAAGATAAGTAAGTACGTAGGTGGAAATGGTTATTACAGTAGGACCGAACATAAAGAGGAACTCCGGAAACAGAAGAATGCTCATTAAACTTAGTGGCTCACAAAATCAATGTTGGTACCAATAAATAAATAATTAAACTCAGAACACAGAAAAAGAACTCTGAGACACTGGAAATACAAATCATAGTTTTTTAAATGATGGTTTTATCCAAAGTTTTATTTTTAAATAAATGGATTGTGTACATTCTAATTTTTGTCTTACATTTTCTAGTTACCATGAAATTTTAGCAAACTTTAAACTTTCATTAAATTAGCTTTGTGCTTTTGTTTGCATTTTTTTGTTGAAAAATAAACATTTGTTTTATTGCAGTTTTCATTATAAATTTCTCAGTTTTTTTTTTAGAGAGAGGATTTGCAATTAATTGCGCATCATAAATGCATAAAATTCCCAATGATTTAAAAAATTTCCAAACAGTTAATTTTAAAAAAATAATAATTGCTGTTTAGAATCAATCAAAAATAATAATAGAAAAGTTTATCTAAATTATATTGCAGTTTATTTTAACATAAAGAAACATTATTTTATTAAATTGTAAGATTTATTTTAGCCAAATAAATTATAGCCCTTTATTTAGCTCGAAACTTAATATACAAAACTTTATTATCACAATACTAAATATTTCACTCAAGTTTGATATAAAAGTAGGGGACTACCAACTACTACGCTTTCCACAAAATATCTTAAAGAGTGGTAGACAATAACTAAAGTTTTCAGAACTTTCCTAATCTTACCAACATTCTAAAAGCTTCACCAAATGAGAGCTGGGACAAAAAGTGTTTCATAAGAGCTTTTGAATCATTTACATGGCATGGTGTGGAAACTAGTTTTAAATCATTTTTCAAAAACAAAGAATTATACTTTAAAACAGGCTTAGCTACCACTAGGAGAAAATTTTACCAAATGTGTAGAAAGTTGGCAGCCCTGTGAAAGTTGTAGCTCTAGAACAAGTGAGCTAACTTTATTAAAAGTAACATTTGAAAATAAAAAGAGTAGTTTGCAAAGTGATTTCATAAATAACCAGTTAGAAATAAGCTTGAGGCAATATTAATTAGTTATTAATGATTTCTCATATTTCTGAATTTATAGATTAAAGTTTTTTAGAGTTATTTATGCATTTTTTTTAGTGTTTCATTCATTACGAAAAATTCTATTATTTTCATATTAACAGAGAAGTCAAAATAACATACCTGATACAATTCCACAAAACACAAGGAAACCAAAGAGCAACACCCATCTCTACTACTCTGAACACAATATTATAATAATTTCGACTGATTACAGGAACCCTATGGTACAAAAAAGATTAATGATATAACTTATTTATTAAACTTAAAGGAACTCACAAAGTTTGCCAGATGAGAAATTTTTTTTTAGTTTAAGGACTAACACAAACAAATATTTATTAATCTTATTTTTTGTAATATGTTAACAATGTTGCTTCAAATATTTTGCATATATTTAATATTTGTTGTAAATCATCATAACATAGCAGGGGTGCAGAAAAGTCTCTCAGATTAATACTTTCCTAGAACACAGTTTTTCTGGATTAAAATTTCTCAAAAAATTATTTTTTAGTTACAATTATTTTTTCAAAAGGTTTTTAGATAGTCAATTTTGTATACTGTTAAAAATTTTAATATTTCCTTAAAAAAAAATCATTTGATTTTACATAATTTTTGAAAAAAACTAGCACATGTGTTAAAAATAATAATGGAAATCAAAATATATTGAATTAGCAATAATTTATAAAACTGAATTTAAGGTCCCATTCATATACTTAAGGAATTGAAAGTAATAAATAAACATTCACATAAAGTTATATGTGTTACATTTTATACAACTAAAAAAACATGCTTTTTAGACAGAAAATTGATATGGTTTAGGAATTATAAAATATTAAAATAAGCTTTATAAATGTATATTTAAATGATGACTTTATAATCCCTCTTTCTCATGTCTTATTTGTTCAAATACTACATTTTTAATTTAATAACAAGATTTAACAATTGCCAGGAAATCAAGTAGTTTAACTTGCTTTGGTTAAAAAAAGAAACATTCATAAGTTGTTTAAAATAAATGTTCATTTATCATCTATAAAGGACAACCTTTTATTCTCCTTATGCATGCTGTAAATTATTAAATGCATAACACACTTTTTACCGGGATACCTAGTAAAACTTAGTAAAGTGATATTTTTCACAATGAGAAGTCTAAGAAAGGTTTGTAATTTGATAAATTGGCAGTCCATTCCACGAAATAAACACTTCATGGACAACTTGCGGAATTGAATATTCTGATTATGCAGACAAGTGATTGCTGGAACAAGAGATTATCTGAAATTTCTTAGAAACTCAATGGTTAGATGGTTTTGCTTTAAACAAATTTTTTTTCTACATGTAAAGAAAAATAAATTGCAAATAAAAAAAAACATTTATCATATTAAATGAAAAAATATTAAATAACAGATTATCATTTTCATACACAAAAATAACATGAATAAATTTTAAAGAAAGAAATTTAAATGTATAAAAGATATTCTAATATTGTAGGCAATATTATTTTTATAATTTGAAAAAAAGATGGTATTTTTGTAATATTGTATAAAATATATCTGAATAATTTTTTTTTCAAAAAAAAAAAAAAAAAAAAAAAAAAAAAAAAAAAAAAAAAAGAAGAAAAACAAGAAAGTTTATAATAGGGATAACTGGCAAAAAAAAAGAGAAAATTTTGTGACACTTTCATGATAGAATCAGTACAAATTAGCCTTGATTAAATTTTAATTTAGCCAATATTTTACATGAAATTTTTTTATAAAGCAACCTTTTTTAAACAATAAAAAATTTCATAGAAATTTTTTTTCCAAATAGACCAAAAATTTCTCTAGGCTGCTTTCCTTGCATCTCATTCATGCAATTAGACATATTCTGTATCCCTGCAATGTAGTATAATGTGATTCAAACTATACTGAATAGAACTAGTCAGGGTTGCCACTTAAAACTGAAAAAAAAAATTCTTGTGTTTTCCCTGTATATATATGTAGTATATAAGGAGTAACACATAACTACAGTGTTCACATGTTGTTCCCAAAATAATAATATCCCCTTAGTTCAAATCACTGAAATAAAACAAGAGGTAGTAACAATTCAACACTATTTGAAATAAAAATGGTAACAGAGTACTTATTGTTCATATTTACATACCAAAATTTTTTTAAAATAAATTATCATATCAAAAATATAGAAAATTTTGAAAATGCCCGACACAAGTTAAGAGAGTGAAAATATTGGTAACTAACCTATAGACTACTAAAAAAATTAAAAACTGGTTAAATAAAATAAAGAACAATAATCTTGCTATCATAAAAAATTAATTTCCAAGCAAAACTAATAATTTTTCTTCAATTCATATATTTGAGAATCCATATCTACAACTTCTACAGAATTTTCAGTTATTAATTACATGTTTTTTCTTCTGTAACTGTTTAATTGGTCTGTTAACTTTCCATTTGTAGGACTGTTGTTTTGGTTCCATTAACTTTACATTTGTAGGACTTCTTTTCAATTTTTTGGATATTTTTCTGCTTTTTTTTTAAAAGCTCCATGATACTTCATTCGAGCTAATTTATACATATTGGAACATACCTTTTGGCATTGGAACTTTTAAAAACTCCTCTATAAAAGTTTATAGCATTGTAGATAATTCTGAAATCAACTAAGGATTCTTCTTAGATATTTTCAATAAGCATGTCCTTATTAATACTTAACCCACTTTTTACAGCAGCATTGCCATGTGATAATATAAGAATTATTTACAAAACCTCTTACAAATCTGAAAATTCTTTGGATTTGCAACAGCAAAGTAAAAATCTTTTGAGTAGCTCCTTTATACAACACAACAGCAAATTACCACACTGCTATGTCAGAACAGATTAAGTATTGACATTCTTGTTTCCCATTAAAGTTATGCCCGTCACCCGTACAGAAATTAAGAAATTACTCACACCTATGACGAGGAACATTGGAATATGGGTGCATTTATAATGTCATAAAGTAAAATAAAGAGGAAGGAGAAAGAACTGAGAGGTGAAAAAGATATGGATAATTGGCAAGCTTTCCATAATTGGACAGCAGGTATGGCTGCTTTTTCTTCTTTTGTAATGGGAGCAATTATTATACTCTTTATTTCTTTGATGTTTAAAGAGATGCTTTTTCTCCAAAGAGAAGAATAAAATTTCTAGAATTTTCCAGTTTCTTAAGAAATAACTGGGAATCCCTGAATTTTCCCTGTCGCGGCAACCCTGCTAGTGGTATTACGTTGATTATTTTTTACTAACACACATTATCTTTACTGACACAAATTCTGAATAAAAATTATGTCTGAAGGCTCCTAAGAGCATGAAAAACAGATAGAGGTTTTGTGTAACGGCACTTCTTAGAGAGGAAATTAATTTTAATTGAAATTGATAATAAAAAAAACTTACTTGGTTTTCCAAAAATCACCAAGGCTGTCAGAAAAAATGAAAAGGATAGTGAATATAAGTAATACTGCTTGAGAAACTAGACCAATGCGAGATTGATGAAGTTGTGATGCATCAGTAGCTGATGTAGAACCTTGTAAAAACTGACCTCGTACCTATCATAAATACATAAATAGATAAAATTAAATTGCAGTTTATAACTAACCATAACTGATTTAGTTTAATGGAAAAAAAATACCTTGAAATATACTTCAACACCATAGATCAAGAAGAAAACAACAACCACCAGCATTAAAATAGCATAGCAACCATGAAACACTTTAATAAACAAGCTCTGTAAAATGAATGGAAAATAATTAAAGTAAGCAAAAAATTATTCTTGCACCACAATTAAAACATACAATTAATAAATTAAATTTAGAAAGAGTAAAAGGAAAATTTGAATAAAAGCATTTTTGAATTACTAAAAATGCACTTAATTAAATGAGCACATTTAGGTTATTTTACTTACATGAAAAGAATTGAAAATAAACTATAATTTTTCACCAATATTTTTACAAAATAAAATCACTAATTTTAAAACTATGCATATTTTCATTTTAAAATTATTACAGGAAAAGGTAATAATGAAGCAAACTGGATAAAAAATACTTCAGATAATTTTGGTTGTGATATGACATGTACAATAACAAAGAATAATTACGTACATGTTTATTTCAGCTGTAATTAGGTTTAAGATTTTTGTTTTGTTCGTTGAATTTATTGATCTTTATCTTTATGTCTATGTTTATGTTATCTCTATCTTTATCTCTAGGATTTTTATTAAAACTAAGTTCAGTCATGTCTCAAAACCATCTGAAATGCTTAAAAAATATTTGCTAAAAAGTAGAAAAGGGGCAAAAAAAAAAAAAAAAAAAAAAAAAAAAAAAAAAAAAATTTGAGTACAATATAAAGAATCACAATTAACATTATAAAAAAAAATAGATTATGAAAAAACGAAATCTTTTTACCTCTTAAATGTACAACAAAAAATAAATAACTGTACTTCAAAGCATTTTAATTTTGCTTATTTAAAGTTTTCCTTTTCAGGAAACTAATTCAGAGGTGCAAACCACAACGGATTTTCTATAAAATTTTATATCAATTAATTTAATATAATAAAATTTTATTTAAGTATTTAAAGAAGCAGTAAGTAAAATTTATAAATTTTATCTGATAACTAGATTTTTAAATTTAATTTAAAATTATTTATGACGTTTTAATTTAGCTTTCATGAGGATTTTGGTTAAGGGAACTTATTTAGAGTTGCTAACCACTATAGATTCTCTGTAGAATTTATTTTATATTAAGGTCGCACAATCATTTTGAATGAAGGGCTACTTGTACAGCAGGTAGATCTAAGAAGGGCTGCATATTTAATACTTAGATATGTTCATAGCAATAATGATAATTTTAATAGAAACATCAGTGTATTAGACATAATTCTTATCAGTTTAACTAGTAATATATTTGCATAAAATTAAATTCTTTTAAATGTTAAAATTCAGTCAAAACTGAAGAATACCAAACTGATACTTTTAATATACATAATTTCCTTCGTATGAGAAAAATAAATTGCTTAAAATAATATAGATATATTTATAAAGATGGGGGAAAAAGAATTGTTGTTCTTTTTTTATCACATCAGGTAACACAAAAGTTTATTTCAAAATTAATGAACAGTAATAATCATGAATGAAAGTAAAAAAGTATTTTATTGAGCAATATAAAGGCAAATTTTATGTTTTGATCAAGGAAATTTTATAGGATCTAAAATAATTTAAAATAAAACGCATTATAGCTAAAAATAAGATTCAACATTCAGCTGTTCAGTTCAGTATATTTCTAATTTCAGGAGAATTGTATTCAGTGATAAGCGATTTTACAAATGTTAAATTTGCAACATTTTTTACGCACTTTTACAAAAAATTAGAAATAAAGTAAAAAAACAGTAAACAGTTTAAAAATCTATGTTTGTTGTCTATGTGTGATTTGGAAGAAAAAAAAGGTGAAATAAGTAGCTGCTACTACGGGAAAAAAAAACAAAGATCAAAAAAAATTTTGGATTGTAGATGAAAGCTGCATAAATAAAGCATGTCAAAAGTGATAATTAAAATGAGCAATTTAAAACTCACAAGTCTTAATTGTATAATCGTAATATCGCTTTAAAAATATTGAATAGACACAAATAAAGGGCTTTAATAGTTATAACTTAAATTCAAAATTCACACATGGTAATATGTTGTATTAAAAATATTGAGTTACTTAAAACTTTGGAAATTTGAAGAAATAATGAACAAAGAGAGAAAGTAATCAAAAACTACATTGACTTATATTGTGAAATAAACGAACATCTAAGACTAAAACTTGTGAGCATCAAAAACTGAAAGGCATACTTTAAAATTTCCAATTTTTTTCTTCCAAAAAAAATTTTCTCTTTATAGTTTTTATTTTATTAAGTTCAGTTGCTGCCGTGGACTGTACATTGAGAATTGGCGAGCTACAGGTAATGCTTCTTTATATATTTAGAGAAGCAGTAAAATTTATAAATATAAACTTGATTATTAGGATTTTATATTTAATTTAAAAATGCTTTTGATCACTACAGTATATAAATTAATTTATCATATACATTAAGGAAAGTATTCAATATTCAAATGAGAGTATGTGGTAGCCCTGGTAAATTAATACTTAATTTTACCTACAACTGTTATTTCAATAATCTTTTCACTGCCACTTGCAAAATTTAACCTTGGAACTTTTTGCTTACGGCACTTAGCATGATGAAGCCATTCTGGTCCACTTATTGTACCAGCCGTAAGCAAAGGGTTAAAAGTTGGCAGGTATTCTAATTATACACAAATATTTTAATATAAAGTTAAGTATATCTAAAGAGTTAGGAATTAAAAAGAATGCTTCTTTTATGCATAAATTTTCTTATAAAGCACCCTGTTTGGGAGAATGAGTAATCATTACAGAGCAAGAGAAAATCTTTTTTTTCTCTATCATTAGAGAAAAACCAGCAAGCCACATGAATGTCTTCTCTTCCTTGCACAGAAAAATATTTGCTAACAGTCAAACAAGGCACAGCTAATTTGTACCAGATTCTAATTCAGTTATTGTGAGATAATAGAAGTGCAGCTATTACCTACTTTTTTTGAGAGAAGATGCTTTTAAATTTAGATAAAAAATATTGAGTTCTTAATACTTCTAAATGAACTAAATTTTAAATAACTTATTTTTAATTAGTACCAGTATTTATTTAGAATATAATTATGTATTTTTTATAAAAATAATTTATTTGAAACAATTTGTTTTTTCATTTATTATTTCATTTTAAGTGTTCAATATTTTATTTTATTATTTATTTATACTCAATGTCATGCTGGAATAAGCATAACATACTTCTTAACATTTAAAACCCATATTTTTATCTTATTTAATCCCTTTTCAATAAATAAAAATCATTATTATAATCTGTAATCTTTTTATATCACAACCTTGAATTGAGAGCAAAATAAAATCTATTTTAAGAGATTCCCTCTACATCTGCCTAACACATTAGCCTAGAATTCGAAACCATTATAACAGGGGTGGCGAACCTTTATGCACCAACGTGCCATTTTTTCAAAATATTATTTAATGAAGACATAGACGTGCCGTCAAATAATTTTGACTTCCTGATTATTGGGAAAATAATACGTATTACTAAATACTATCAGCTCAAATCTCTTTATTCACTATGAAAAAAGAATATATTTTGCAATGTCTCAGTTATACGCGCAATTCAACTTAAAGTAACATGACTCCTGTTGTTGCAGATTAGATGAGAAACAACTTACATTAGGTTGTAAGATGTTAGTTTAAGCAGGACTGTTAACTTTTTTTGCTAGTTATTTATTGTTAGCTTGCTTTTTATGGTTATTGTTTATTTGACATTAATTGTTAATAATTGTTTTTTTTTGTGAATTATAATTTTATTTGTAAATATGCTTCATAGTGAACTTCGTGATTGGTGGCGTGCCACAAATGGCATGTGTGCCGTTGGTTCGCCATCCCTGCATTATAAGGTTGCTAATATTTTGGATTCATTAAAATTCGCTATTTCTCATGTTTTCTTTTTCGCCAACACATTTGAATGCGGAGAGCTAGGAAAAAGAGCCTTGACATTTAATTTAATCAATTAATAGCCAATACTTGGCTTCCTTAAATTTCTTTGGCGAAAACTATGCTAATTTACATATGAGATGCACATTTTTGATTTCATAGTGGGAGGAGGTGTCCTGAATATTTTTTTTTACTTTGAAACTCCACATGATTCCATATTTCTGAAAAAAAATTTTAAAATTTTTTATTGAAATCAATTATTGATTAACACAGTTCCTATTGTTTAATATCTACATTACTCTTGTCTACATCACACTGGAATAATATATGGACAACTGATAATAGATCCATCAACATTTTTAAATAATGGTAATTCATCAAAGCTCTTCAAAGAGAGTAATTTCTTTAATCAACAAATCTTTTCATAACAAAATATGAATTCGTCAACTATTGTAAATCATCAAGTACTTTCTTCAAGCATAAAATTTTATCACAACAAAAGCAAACTCTCTCATGCCAGCCAAAAACATTGCTTGTTGCACACATAATTTGCATACACTGCAAATATAAATTATGGGCCAAAAGATAAAGTTAGCTCAATTAAAATATAACAGTCAATCAATAGGTTATAAAAGAAAAACTTACTTTTTCAATATCAGATGGGTCAGAAAATTGAAGTAAAAGTAATTCTGCTAGTAAAAGGGAATAAGTTATAATATTGAAGAGAATGAATCCCAATAAAGATTTGCTTAAAAATCCAGGCTTATCATAAGTCATATCTCTTAAATGAAAAACCTAGAGAGAGGAAAATTTAATAGATTTAATTTGATAAAAAAAAAGTATAATAGCTTAAAGATGCTTATGAACGCTTATGAAAATACATTTTTTACAATAAACATACAATACATTTTTGTTGTAAAAATGCTATTAAACATACATTACCATAACTTCCTATGTATTATCTGTAGAACATATGTTTTAAAAAAAACCATGGAAATCATTACTGCGGATAATCTACTTCCTCGGGTAATCCAAGGAAATAATATTTTGAACATCAGACTCTCAAATTATCAATTGACTTTTGTCAGCCATGAAAGTGTTAAGGACAATAAAAATTCATGTATGCAAATTCGGATATATGAACGAGAACCATATAGGTGAAATATATTTATCATTGAAAAACTTACCAATTAGGTGTGCATTCACATTTCTGAATTTGCATACATGATTTTTTTCGCATCCAGTGTAAATGCCCCTAGCATGATTGCATCACCCCACGTCTCATTTCCTGCCGATGAGCATTGGCTCATAAATGACAAAGATTCTGCTGGTCGGCGGAACTTTGAAATTCATTATTTTTTTCTGTGGATCTGGCAACATCGATTATACAGGATGGCAGATTACCTGTTGAAATTTTGCCACTGGGGCAGAAAGCAGAAGCAAAAAAAAATTTATAATTGAAAAGTATAAATGAATTGATTAAAAAGACAAGATTTATAATTGCAGGCACACACAATTTATTGGAAAATTTCGAATTAGAAATTTATTGTTCCTACATTATACACTCTTTTGAGAATCAACAATGCATGAAGCAAAAATTAATTTATAAAGAAATTTTAACTATTTTGAAATAAATTTTATTTAAAATTTTATTGTTTTACATTGAGAAATTTTACTTACACATACTGGTAATACTTAACAAGCAGTAAGTCAATTTTCATTAATTTCTGTTAAATTCTTCATTTTACTCTTTATGATAACAATTTTGGTAGTTATTGTTTCTTATTTTCACAAATTTTTTAAAATATTAATGATTTAAAACGAATTAATTGCGTACCACAAACTTTGAATCTTGCATTTGATTAATCACTTTTTATTACTAATCACTTAGATAATACTTAGATAATCACTATGCAATTTTGTTGATCGTTAATACATATTTTCAAATGGTTTTTAAAATCTCAACGTTTTAATACTATATTATTTCATTCTACGAACTTGGAATCGCATATTTGAAGAATCATTTTTATATACTTCATTATTGACGATTCATTAATGAACCCATGTAGTTTTATCGATCACATTTTTGTTAGTTATCATTGTCAAATTTTCTCATGGTCTTTAAAATCTTTATTTTTAAACTACATTTTTAACACTATATTGTTTAATTCGGAGAATTACGGATCCTGCATTGAAGAATCACTTTTTTACACAGTCTATTATTAACAATTCACCCATAAACACACATGGTTTTTATCAATTGCATGTTGGTTAGTTATTATTGCCACGGATTTTCATAGTTTTTAAAATCTTGATTTTTTTTTATGCTGCATTATTTTGTACAGGAAATTTCCTTTGCCTCTATTTATTTAAATATTTATTAAATTTTATGCTTTTGATAACTTGAGTTTTCAAAAGTTCGAGGTAGGCTCGATCCAGTCAACCTTGAATTATTGAGTTTCTACTGTTGTTAAAAAATAAACTGCTACAAATAAAATAGGACAAGAATTTTTACGTCAGTCACTGTAAATAAAATTAAAAAAAAAAAATTATGTGTAGTATGCATACAGCTAAGTACCTTTTAAAAATAATGCTTTCTTAAATTTGTACTTAAAAACTATGTTAGCCTGAAAAATAAACAAAGTTATCTTAAAATAATAAGTTAATGCAAAATATTTCATTATTGAAAAAGCTTACTTCTGCCCAAAAACACACTATCAAAGATGATCCAGACAACAGTATAGGGTAATATGCACTCATTAAACTAGATGCCCAGAGCATAGCTTCATGATCCTGAAACAAAACAAGTTTCGTAAAAAAAAAAAAAAAATTAAGAAGAAATCAATACTGCAGTTTAAAATTAAAGGAAAACAATGATTCTTAGAATTCATTTGTCTGGTTTTGACCTTTTTTTGGAAGTGGGACCCAGGAACATGAAAGGTGCAGTGATTTTGGTTGTTATGTCAATTTACGGTAGCTCAATTATTTAGCTTAATGAGAACATTATCAAATTGATTAAAAAAGCACAGTAAATTATGTCATAGGCTAATTGGAAAATCCTGCTCTTTGCAAACTCTTGACAGCAAGGAAACCTTTCTACAAACAAAACCAAATTCCCTGAGATTTCCACAGTTAAATGAGTAAAATTTTGCTAATTGTCCCCATATAATTTAATTATTGATTAATTGTCTCCATCTTGGAATTTTAATTATTACATCCATAAATGTGTATTAAGAATTTATATCTAAATATGGCAGAAAACATTTACATCAATATTTTCCATTTTTCAAGTAAAATTGTTTATTGTTTCAAGCCTAAATTTGTCATGACATTAAACAAATAATATTACGATTTTAATTAAACTCTTTGATAATTTTATTGCAGGCTTTAGAAAGATCAAAATTGGCTTGAAAATATTATAATTGTCCTAATGTTTAAGAGAACTGAAATTATTCATTAGAATGAATAATAAAAATGATTTATTTAATTAACAATGACAAGAAAAATAAATATAAGTGAGACAGACTGGTTAAAAGATATAATTAGTTACATAAATGTGCCTAATTACAGATTGTACATACTCTGTGCGTAATGAGAATATAATACTCATTGAAATGAATTTGATCAACACAATAATATAGTTAATTGCTGATTTCTCTAATTAAAGAATTGAAAGTATATTTCCCTGAGAATTTTAGGTTTTTCCTGCTTCCAGAGTGAGTGGCTACCCTGTGACATTTTTTCTTTCTTTCACTTTTTATCTAATGATGTTTAAGCTACTACAATAATTTTTTATAAGCAAATCATGTTTTCAAAGTCATTTGAAGACTAGTGGAGTCATAAATTGACTATTTGAGGAGCCATATCTCACCCACGGTTAAGAGGTTTTGCACATCTAGTTTGATAGATTATCACAGAAGTTTCATCTCTGTTATGTTTGATTTTTGATAGATATAATGGTTGAATAGAAATAATTTTCATGTTAGTAGATTTGCTGGAATATAATAACTTGATGATTAAGTTTAGGTAAAATTTAATTAAGGAAGTTTCCATCTTTAAATACATAATTTTTCACAGCTTAGCTGATATAGATATATTGCGTGTCTCTTTTAAATTTAAAATTAACTTTTTTATTGAACATTTTACATAATTTTTTAATCTCAAATTAACGATATATTTCAAATCAAATTATATTTTTATAACAAAAACTTAGATTGCGCTAAAACTTTTCACAAAAATATATTGACAATAAAAGATTTTCATAAAAGTCATCAATATAAAAGTCTTAGATTGGTGCCTGGGAATGATAGTTCACAAGTTATGCTAATTTGTGTATCCATAGAGGTTCAAATAAAAATTGTTATTTTTTTATAACTCAAAGCATCAATATGCTTTTAATGATAATAAATTAGCTGAATTCTTTGACTGAATTTAAAATACTTACTGAAGTTTAATTATTTTTTAAGTATTTTAGTTAAAAAAAAAAAGAAGAGATAATTTTTAGATAAACTTGTTTATAGAAAAAGTTTTATATGTATATATATACACACATATATGCTTTAAGCATTTACAAATGTGACCTCACATTTCTATAGGGCAAATCCCAAGAAAGAATAAAATTTTAAAAATTAAAAAACAAATTGTAAGGCTTTGAATTAATATTTAAAATAAAGTACAGTTAAAATTTGTGTGGTTTGTAATGCAAAAAGAATATCAATTCAATTAGTAAATTATAATTCACTTCAAATGTGAGATAAATCTCCAGTTACTATTAATACCAATACCATTATCAGTTAATATTTAAAGTTAATCTCCATCAGTAAATTTTATCTTTTTATTCAGGTACAGATTAAATTAATGTACAGTGCATTAAACAAATAAATTTTTTTCAAAAATGGCATAACTTTTCATCTAATTATTTTTAAATTTCTATGTACGAAGGTAATCTTATTGGTTTGATATTGTTATTATAAATGTTCTGATTAATTAGTAAAATTTTATTACCCACGCTAATCATTCATAGTTTAAGAGTTAAATGATTACATACAGAGTAACATTGATTTAGACGTAATATACTGTAGGAAATGATGTATTCAACCTTAGTTTTCTGCCAGATCATGCAGAAGTCACAGTCATTACAGCTACATTAAAAACCAAATTAATTCTTACAATCAGAAAGAACATTTAACTTACTGGAGATGAAAAATAATAGCCTCTTAGAGCAGTAGCCATACAGATTAATATATATAAAGTTTTTTGGGTTGTCACATTAAATGCTTTGAAAAAAGAGCGCTGTTTCATTCGACTGAATTCAGACTTGAGACAGAGAAGCTGCAAAAAAAAAGAAAAAAATTATAAATAAATAAAAAATAGTCAAATGTTAAAATTTTTTATAAAAATGAACCAATGTAAATAAATTAAGATATTTTTTTAAGATTACTATAAACTATATCGCTGAAACTCACAGCACTAAACATTATAAATATACGATATTTTTTTTTCAAATTACTAGAAAGAATAATTTATTTTGGTCACTTACATAACCTTACGACTTTATCTGTTAATATTTTTCCTTATAAGAACACATTTGAATAAAATTTGAGTTTTCTTCAAAACAAGAAACTTGTTAACATCAATTATACATAAGATAATAAAAATAATCAAATTAATACTTTAAAAGATGTCATAATTATGTTGCTTTAAAATATGTAATTTAAAAAAATACTTACTAATTGTATAAAAGATACTGCACAGATGATGTAGAATATGGTAGAAAAAGCAATATAATAATTCAAGTTAGGATCTCTACAAGTTCCGCCACTGTATTGCACCTATTTTGAGAATGTACAAGTTAAGACAGCGAGTAAAATATAATAAAATATTAGTTTTTAATCAATAATTGGTAATATTTTTTCAATGAAAACTATTTCACGACTAATCTTAAATATTGTATCCGGAATAGTAATTTTAAAATTGTTGCAAAAGGATAAATAATTTTATTATTAACTTGAATGTTACCATTTAGCTTGACTACTTCAAATAGCAGTTAAGTATCTCAGAAAATAAATTTTAAAATTGTGTAAGAGAAAACTATGCTTTCAATTTTAGCTTTACTTAAATTCCACCACATTTGCATTTTTGTTTCTTTGCATGGACCAGTCTTATTAACTCATCTAACATATTTTCAATTGAATTGAGGTTCTACACATGCAGTAGGAGAAATTCATTGTTTGGTAAAATGGTTATTTTGAAGCATTATCTTGTTTGATTATGCAGTCTAATCAAACCAAATGCCTGAACATGTTAATTTTGTTAAATTAAACATCGATATTTAAACAATGCACACAATTAAAAACTACATGAATTTTAGGTTTATTAAAATTAAATTTTTTCTCTGACATTTTACATTTCGTGAAAACTATTTGCAGCGGTACTTTCGTTATTTTGCGATTGCTGTGCATTTTATTTCGTCGGGAAGTAACAGTTCTTGTAAGTTATTTTTAGTGAGACTTCTGCTACTTAGCAATTGTGCATTATTTCATCACTTTTTTTACCTTTTTGTCTGTCAGGTTCTTTTTGTCATTAAATTCAGTATTTTTTTTCTTCTTTTTACTTTTTTGACATGTGTTTGTTTAATAATTTGCTAGATAGTCAGGATTATTTTTAAACAAATAAACCTTTAGTTGATTATATTTTTAAAAAATAATATAATAAAAAATTATTAAAACAAGGCTTACGTTTAATTTTAAATTTATTAAGCATAGAATTTGACCATTAGTCAATACAACTTTATTACTTTAAACAAATAACAAAAGGTCTAAAAATGTTTTAAAAGCAATTTTTTTTCAACAATCAATTTAAAAAATGTTTTACTTAAGTGAACATTGATTTGATTTTTGCGTTGATTTTTTTAAAAAAACTTTTAAAACATGTAAGTAAAATATTTTGTTACAAATATGGACTGTTCGCTATCATTTATAGATTAATTGTTATCTTTTTGATATTCAATTGGCTTACAATGTGTCATTGAAAAAAAAAATGAAATAACTGTTGTAACTTAAAAAAAATATTTTTTAAGTTACAACGATAAAGATACATGTTTAAATATTATTTAACTGATAAGTATTTGATTAAAATATTATTTTAAAAATTACTATGGCCTAAACATTGTCAATGTAAAAGTTTAGTGTTGATCATCAATTTTTTTATAAGGTTTAATGGCACATATAAGCACTTAATAACTATGTTATTGTTCTAGGCTTTTAAGTTTAAAAAAAAATAAACAGAGATTATATTTTAAAATTAAAACCAATTTTTTTAATAAATTGTTCAATGAAATATTTATCTACTACTAAGTCGAGATTATGAAATTATTATCATAAAACTCTTTCTAAAATCAGAATGTAACGGAATAAAGAAACTTACTTCACAAAAGCAAACACCGTCATAACAATCTCCATGGCCAGAACAGCCATTAGAACAAGTCATATTTAAGTTAGCCATTGTAGCCCATAAACGAGGAAGCAACACATTGGAAGTCACTTCATTAGGTGAGTGAGAACAGTTAATCATTCTGTCCCCAGAGACAAGCACTGCTCTTCAACCCTTTAGTAAACCAATGATGCTGTATACAAGAAAAAATGAAATATTGATCACTTTTTGACAAATTAACAAAAATTTGCTTAAAATTAAGACTGAATTTACAAAATAAATAATAAATACTCTGACAATAAAAAAAAATGATTAGTTGAACTTTATCTTTTTTACATTGCTATTGGATATAATTTGATATCAAAGTTCATGTTTTTTAAATAAAAAGTACCACAAAATTCAAATTTTTATCACCGGAAAGAGCAGCAATTTACTTTAAAATTCATTTTAAGCAATGTGTGCTTAATTATACTAAACCAAATTGCACCTCAAACCATTTACCACCGCTAAGTTAGAGAGAATTCAAGTGGTTTTTTAAGAGTGCACAACTTTTTTGAGTGAAGGGCTACTTGTATAGCAGATAGATTAACGAATGGCCACATGCTTGCTTAGTCATGTTAGCGGAAAATATGATAATTTTTATAAAAACATTAGTGCTCTAAGCACATTTTTTTAAAGTAATTAACTTACTTAATATATATACATATACACCCTTTGGCAGAATTTTCTCAGGCTTTCTCTGTGACGAAACTCTCCAGCACTATTATTTTTCTGCAAGATACTTTCAATAATAACAAAGATGCATGTTTAATTTACAGTAACAAAAACGCTGTTTACAAAAACAAAAAAATTGCAATTCAAATTTAACATGTAAATTTCTGCAGAAGAGCAAACCAAAATTATTTACTACCCAAAAGAAAAATCTTTCTGCAAGAACTCTGTTAAGTTCTGAGAAATGTCGTCGCGATTCTGCCACGGGGCATATACACATAAATATTAGGGGTGGGATATAAATTCTAACCAAAAAAAGAAAAAACCTGTAGTGCTTACAGAATATAAGTGCAATATATATATATATTGCACTTACATTCCGCACATATGCACAATATAGATAATATATATATGTATATGCATTTTATAGAGTAATATGAGTTTGAATTAAATATTTTTATTAAAGAAAATTTATAATGTTTAAACAAAAACTAAAAATTAAAATAAATCCATTATAATACAAAATAAGATTAAATATTTATTTATTATTATTCTTAATATTATTTAGATTTCTTGAATTATTAGAGCCTTTAAGAGTTTTAAAAAGAAAACATTTCCTTCAGTTTTTTCCTAAAAATATCACCCAAGCCAAAAAATTTTTAAAACAAAATAAATTACAAATAATAAGCAGTATAAAAACTCTCGTTTTCCTCAAGTTTCATGGTGCAATAACGCCGCATTAAAATATTGGGATACTAAATACCACGTACAATTGCATGGTGCCAACTGCGGAAACGATTAAAAAAAATTTTATTTACGATTACATATGCATAAATAAATTACATCAAATAGCGATTAATTTAATTCCCGATTAGAAATTACCGTGTTATTAACATTGCAGTTAAAGTAACAGGAATATCAAAATCACAAAGAAAAGCATTTTAATAATAGCAACAAAAAAAAATTACATTTACGATGAAATTAGCATGAATAAAGTGTGCAGATAAGTAATTATTTGCATGTCGTAATAAAATTTGGAATTTTTAAAACTACGTGAGAATGCATTGTAGAAACTGACAAAAAAATGATTGAAAAGTGATGACTCAAATGGGAGGCTTAAAATTTTCATAATTCTCTTATGTTGTTAAAAAAATTCATTCTGTTCAGAAGTCCCTGAGATAAAATTTCATATTATTTTATATTAGAAAAAAGAGTAGTTAAATATAAACACTCTAAAAAATTAAAACATTAATTTAAATATATTTTTATATATAGGTTGTATTTTAGGTTTCTTAAGGGACAGCATTTCTATTATACAATTTTTATTTATATTTAGTAAAAATATAAATTCAATAGATCCATTCTTCGAATTAAAAAAAAGAAAAATTTTTTTTTAGTGACATGTACTGAAAAATACTAATAGAAAAAAATACTAATTGAACAAACTTTAAAAGTTTATTTAAGCAGGCAGAAACAATTTCTATTTACAGGTTAAAAAAAATTAACTTTTTATTACTTTATCTTAATTTATTCAAGCCTACCCAAATTGTTAAATGGGAAAGACAAATTCTTGAATGAGACTATTTCCTTACATTGTCTGCTTGTAAATATTTTCTTAAATTTTTGTAGTCCTAAGGCCCCTCAGGGTAAAATTAGTTGAGACAGTTTATTATTATCATAAAAATAATATCAGCTATGAATTAACATTCTTTGCTGCAACAAATAAGCAAAAACACAAAGGCATTTAAATTTAATTACTAAGCATTTAGCATTATTTGTAGCATATTTTTTCAGGGGAAAATTTATTATATCCATTATACTGATAACAGTTGCAAGTAGGTAAATTGTAACCTGTGTATCAAATACTTGTAGAGAGGAAAAAGTGATATGATGGTAGGGTGAGAGGAGCTAAGATATGGTGGTAATTGGGAATTACTTAACCTGATATTTTTTAAAGTTTAAGCAACATTGCCAAGCATAACTTTTATCCATGCTTTTGTAAGATTAAGGGCTATTAAATGGTTGTCTAAAAATTTATTTACACTTCTTAGAAAAGTTTAGGATTAACAGATCAACTCTGAAGCAATGTGCTGAACCAGAGTAGATGTTTGGAGGCATTTTACTTTATGTTATGCATTTTACTTATGTCAAATGAATGTGAATTGAGAAGTTTGATTGCATTATGCAGGACTCGTAGTGGGCCAGGAGATTACTTTTCCCAAAAATCAGGACATCTTCTGGAACGGTATACTTATACTAGCTTACATAAGTAAAACAGACTAAAAATATATAATTTGCTCAAGAAACAGGATAAGAAAAAAAAATTTTTTTTGCCTTATTAATAATAATAAAACAATGCTTTTAATTCAAGAATTTTTTTGTTAAGAACAGAAAAATCTATCAACTTCAAGTAAAATTTTATTAATACTAGAAAACTCATAATAGTTTTGGAAAAAAATATAGACAATTTTTAAGGTATTGTTACATTAAATAAGTAAACAGTATAAATTAGTTTACATTCTTTCAAACACCACTATATATTTGAAATTAGTTATAGAATTCAAGTTTCTTTTTACTCAAATAACTTTTATGTACGATTTCAATAATCTTGAAACAAAAACAGACTGAATATGTCACCCTAATATTTTTGAACAAAGTAATTTAGTAGATGAGATTTCTCAATTAAAAATTTTATAATATAATTACTGAATTTTAGATTGGAAACTATCATTCCTAAAACAGAAGAAAGAGACCTAATATTATTGAATGATAAAAATACACAATTCCACTTTATAAAATTTATTATTGAATTTGCAAAAAATGATAAATAAACAATGACCCTAGTTTAATATTTTCTTAAATTAAAATAAATGCAGTATTTGATTTGCATTAAGAATTAAATACTTTGAAAATTTCTATTTTTAGACTTCTTAACACAAAATTTACAATTTTTATTATTTAAGACAGGAAAATAATGGGTAATCAATAATATAAAGATGTATGTCATGTTTATTAACAGCAATTTTTTCAGAACATTCTATATTTACAGAAATTGTATCAGCTAAATCAATACTCAACAATAAAATAAAAGAAATTAAGATCGATAGAAAGCTAACAAATATTTCCTTGGATGCTTCACACCTAAATATCATTTCAGTCTTCAAAATTTCCATCAAAACTTATTTTTTGTTGCTTTAGCATGGCATAACAATAAACAAGTTCTGTATGAATGGTTGTTTTTTATTGTCCAAAGGAAAAATTTGAGAAATTTATCTCTATTGCAGCACTACTTGTAGGACATGTTTGAAGACTTAAACCAGTGCACAGAAACCTTTGGATATTGCATTGTCATGGCATTATCAAATCACACACTGCACAAATGACAATCGTAAAACAACATTAGTTGGAATTTCGTCATTCTTCATATTTAATAGACATAGCGTCCCTTTCTTTCTAAATTTGGCTAACTTTTTAACGGGGAAACAATTTGTTCTTCCAGGAATTCCATGGAATGATGTGGGTTCATCTATCCTCAGTTGCATATTCCTGTCATTTAATTTTTCATTGTTTAAAATTCATATTGCATGTACATCTGAATGAAAAATTATTTCTTTGTTACATCTGGAATTCCAGCAACAAAAAATAAAAATATGATTTTCAATTTACCAACACTTTCATCATTACAGTATCATTTGAACATTATTTATCATTATAGTATCTTTAACTGGTTTTTTTATCAACCATATCCAATGTTAAACTGTACTAATCAGCATAACAGATATTTTATGAATATTTAACAGATCTTTGAGGAGTTGGGAATAACTAAATATCATAAGTATGTAAGAGATAATATTTCACAGAAGTGTCAAATTTTCTTAGCTCGTTTTGGATTAAAAATTAGTAATTCTACCAAACATTGAAAAAAAAAATTTAAAGATAGGCATACAAAAATAATATTCACAAGGGGATTTTTTTTTAACTTTAAAAATAGAAGTCATAATTTTGAAAATTATCTGAATGTTTTGGAATGACTAAGTTCTTATTATGTCGTCACATACAATAAGAATTATATTGATCCACCCCGTATAAAGAAATTTATAAGTGTTAATTACTGACAGGAATTAAATATTAAAAAGTAAATGGAAGAGCAACACAATGACAAGGTCAGAAACATAATAAATTCATTTTTGTGAAGAAAAAAAAAAACTCAGTCATAAAATAATTGTACCTTGAAAATTTCAGCAGCTAAGTAAGATTGGTAAATAACATAATGTGCAACGAATACAAGTTTTGATTATAAGGATTAGTATCTAGAGTTAATAAAAATTATACTTGCAACTACATTAGTTAATCATTTTCATAAATTCTCATTCATTACAGACAAGTTTTTGTTATGATACACTTTCACTAGCAGGGCATTGTGGGATAGATTGCACCAAGAACATTGAGTAGGATAGAGACACAAAGCTAAAGGAAAGTTTAAACCACCCAAATAGTGCGTGCATGAGAAAGTGGAGGAACCGTTATCACTGCATGCGTTTTAAGCATATCCCATCAGAATCTATAAAAGGATGAGTTATGCTGATGACTGATTGGTGACTTCTTCGCGGAGGAATACAGTTCACTAATGGAGCATTCTCACTATATGTGATTGCCGTGGACGCGCATGATTGTTGTTGTTGTTGTTGTTGTTAATTTACGTCGCACTAGAGCTGCACAATGGGCTATTGGCGACGGTCTGGGAAACATCCCGGAGGATGATCCGAAGACATGCCATCACAATTTTGATCCTCTGCGGAGGGGATGGCACCCCCGCTTCGGTAGCCCGACGACCTACGCGCGAAGTCGAGCACTTTACGGTAGCACAGTTTAACGAGGACCAATACCGCACACCCTCGGTCCCTACGCAGGCTGATCCAAGTGGTCACCCACCCGCACACTGACCGTAGTCAGTGATGCTTGACTTCGGTGATCTGCTGGGAACCGTGTCTTAACGATCAGTCCACTGCGGGACAGGACGCGCATGAAAATGTCACGAAACTACATGTAAAATTTAACTTCTCGCTCATGCGCGAATTACATTACATGCGATCGTACATGTGAAATTCATTGGAAGTGTAAATAAAAATCTGATGAGTGAAAAATATTTAAGATCAAAAAAAGTAATCATTCAAATTCTCAACGCATTGATATGGCATTTGCGATTTTCGCATGTAATAAGAATTGGGTCTGTTCCGGGACACGGATTTTCAGAGCCCGCTCCAAATTTCTTCTACCTTAGAGCAGGGCCGTAACTACGTCGGGGCAGTCAGGGCCCCGACGGTCAAGGGGGCCCCACATAAAGAGACCACATCATGTTTTTTCAAAATACAGTACTCTAATTATATATGCGTAGGAAAGAAATTGTGTTAATATAGAGTTGCTGAAAATTTTCTTTTTAGTAATTACGTACCTACTATAACGTAAAGGAAAGGGTAAAAAACGGTAAAACACCTTTTCGCGAATTATTTCCCTTTCTCAAAAGAACAAACACGCTTTGCAGAGAAGGGGAAAGGCCACAGCTTCATGTAGTTGATTGTTAACACTTTCTGTATATTGCACTTCTGGTTTACTTAGTTGTTTCCTCTACTATCTAGCGTCAGACCCAGTAGCGTGCCAACCAGGGGGAGGCAGAGGGCTTTTCTAAAATTTAAGTGATGGGGCAAACAATGCGTTTCGCCCTTCCTGAAATTCAGACACTCACAAAAATAAAGTAAAATCGGAAATTTAAATTTTTTTTTCAATTTTGAAGCTATTTTTGAAATAAAAAAACTTTATATTCCACTAACATTTATGTGCTTTGCCTCTTCTGATATTTAGTTATTCGCCAAGACGAAGTCCATTAAAATAGGTAATTTTAGAGAAGAAGAAAAAAAAGCTATTCTTTCTCAGCTTTGAAGTTATACATCAAGTAGGAAACTTTATTTTGTTATGGGCGATTAATGTGTTTTTTGACTTTTGGAAAAGTAAAGTGAAAGTGGAAAAAATATTTTAATTCCAATTTTCACTCTATTTTCTTCCGAAATAGTAATGAGGGGGCGAACATAGTGTTTCGCCCCTTTTGAAATTTCAAAGTGCTAAAAAATAATAGAAATTGGTAACTAAAAAAAATTTCATCTTTGAATCTATTTTCCAAATAGAAAACTTTATTTTCTTCTGAAATAAAAGTGAAGGGGGTGGGGAATTTGCTTCTCATCTTCTGAAATTTAGACATTAACATTAATAGAATAAAATCAAGTAAAGTAGGAAATTTTAGAAGAAGAAAATTGTTTTGTTTCATAACTTCGACGATATTTTCCAAATAGAAAACTTAATTTTCCTCTTAAATTATAGTAAGGGGATAGGAAACTTTATTTTCTTCTGAGATAAAGTAAGGGGGGCTAAAATGTGTTTTGTATCTTCTGAAATTTAGACATTTGAAATAATAAAGTCCAGTAAAAGTTTTTTTTGTTTTAAAAAATAAAACTTTGAATCTATTTTCCAAACGGAAAATTTTATTTTCCTCTTAAATTAAAGTGAGGGGGCGAAGAATATATTTCACTCCCTCTGAAATTCAGACATTCGTAGGAATAAAGTCAAGTAAAATATATATTTAACTCTTATTTTCGACTTGAAAGCTATTTTCCAAATCGAAAACTTTATTTTCCTCTGAAATTTAATTGATATGGCAGATAATGTGCGCCACCCCTTCTGAAAATTTGACATTCGCTACAATAAGGTAAAATAGAATTGAGAATTTTAGAAAAAGAAACTACTTTTTTTCCAATTTACTAGCTATTTTCCAAATTGAAGTAGAAATCTTTAGAAGTAGAATCAATAGAAGTAGAATCTCCCCACAAGAAAAATACCTCGGGTTTGTTTAATTTTTTTTCTACATAATACGACTTTTAATTCATTAAAAAAATTTAAAACTAAAATACGAAAGGAGAAGAGGAGCACATCATAAAAAAATATAACAAGTGTTTAGAAAACTAAAATAAGTACCACTGTTTTGCATCCTGAAAAATGCATCCTACACTGAGACTAAATAGATATATTTTAAAGAATCTTTTGACTGTGGGTGGTATGAAGGTGTTAAAACCTTCATACCACCCACAGAGTTGACCCACAGTTATCTGATTCCTCAAAAAATAGCCATCTCCTTTTACACCATGGGAAAATGACCTTTTGCTTCTTTAAATTGCCTTAATCATTTTTATGACCCCGGGCTCTTTTGTGCTTCTATAAAATGTCATATATTTACAGTACCATCTATATGTCCCTTAAGTTGTCCTAAACTAGCAATTACCTAGATGTTCTAGGAAAACGGATGTAAGCTTTTTAGGGATCCAAGGGGATGACTCTTGTTGACATTTACTTAGGTCATTTTGTCAAGAGATTTTTTCTGAGACAAACGTAAAACGTTCCAGTTAAATTCCAGTTTTTAGCTCATTTAAGTGCGTCATTTAAACTAGCCATTTTTAATTCAGATATAAATTTTCTGTTAGCTTTTATTTTATTCAATTTTTGAAATTAAAATTTAAATTTAATTAAGAGTTATTGAAATTACTTGCAACTTCCTTTTTATCAAACATAAATCATGATATCAGTAATTCCTATTCTTAATAAAAATTTTCTTTGGAAAACAAGAAAACCAAATGTAAATTTATTTATAAGGAGGTAAGTAAATGTTTGCATTAACTCATTTAATACATTTAAATTTTATATTTATATACTGTTCTAATTCTTATATAAGAATGGTAACATAAAAATTGCTTTTTTTTATGTTCGTATATAAAATTTCATTTGTATAGTAAATACTTTAATTGATAATTTTACTGCTTATTGTGTGCATGGATTTTGTTCTTATTTTATATTTTTCAAATTATTAAGACCTTTAAATTTTTTAAATTGAAACTTCGAATTTTTTGTGCTTTTAACAATTTTGTTTTCATTAAAAAGTGAAACGCAATCTTTATTTTATATAAAAAAAATCATATTTAATTAAATAAAAGAACGCATTTAATTTAATAAAAAAGCTATGAATATCAGCTTAGAAATCCGCAGCAATTAAAATTCGTTTCCAAGACAAACCATTAAAAAGAATTTTTCTTTTAATTAGCAAATATGCTTTGACTTTTTCTCATTTCTCTTTCATAAAAAAACTATTACTCTTTGTCATAATTTTGTCACATACGATTACATGGCGTCATCAATACATAGGCCAAATATTCAAGAACGATTTTCTAGGGACCTGTCCATATTGGAGTAAGGCAACTTTGTTTTTGTTAATCGATGTATATAGAGAAACAATTTCTGAATATTTTTTAAATTAGGACTATAGATCAATTAGGAATATTTTTTCAATTAAAATGTGGGTACATGTGCCGATAGCAAAAAAAAATAAAGTCTATAATTTCCTTCAGTTTCCATAACGCGATAAAAAAAACTTTTAGATTTGAAACTGAAAAATAATTTTAATTTTTATAATGGCTTTGTCTTGAAAAGACCTTCCTAACGATATAGTAACCGGATTCTAGAGATTTATAAAATTGGTATTTTATTATTAGCATTATATTTAGAGGAAAAGACAGGAGTAGACAACATGAATAGCTATTTTCCCCCTAGTCATATTTCCTCGGTGAGATGTCGTAAATTGGTAACATTTACGTACAGTGAACCAAAAAAGTACCACCCTGAATAACTTTTGATTTAATGATCGGATCTTCACGTTCTAGGACTCCATCTTAATAATTCGAGGGTGTGACATCAAATATGCAAATTAATTAGTGCACGATATTTTATTTTAAGTTACGCAATCAGACACAAAAACATACTTTCTCTGAATAAACATAACTTTTGTTCAACAGATTCGATTTTCTAACCCCCGTAATATAGGAGGTAGCTGTAATCTGGGGAATATGGTCCCAATAGTTGGGTCGGGTGAGCTATCCAAAGTTTGGACCCCCAAATGTTAATTTTATTTTTTTGGATTTCACTACAGATCGAGAGCTTTTTAAGGGAATTGAAAAAATTTTGCACACGATTATAAAATTCTGTTATCTAAAGATAATTCCATGCAAAAAATAACTTTTAGTAAATATTTATTATTTTTTAATTAATAATAGTCTGATGTTGATCATTTACGTCGCACTAGTGCTGCACAATAGGCTATTGGCGACGGTCTGGGAAACATCCCTTGAGATTAGATCCTTTGTAGAGGGGATGGCACCCCCGCCCGGTGACCTGCATCCGAAGTCGAGCACTTTATCGTAGAAGAGTTTAACGGGGACCAATACCGCACACTCTCGGTCCCTACGCAGACACCGTGTCTTAACGATCAGTCCTCTTTGGGACAATAATAGTCTGAAAACTTTTGAATCGTAAGGCATACAGTTTTTTTTGTATCATTCTAAAGTATCGAATTCCACATGGAAAATACAAATTTGAACAAAATTGGTTGAATAGTGCATTAGTTCCTGAGAAATCG